GGGGGGGTCACTTTTAAAAGCGTGCTTTAGGAACAGTATTGCCAGATCTTTCGGATTTTGAAAATTCTTCTGGACTTTTTTTTGTAAACTTTTTAGGATTTCTTCAGAATTTTGAAAATTTTTCTGGATTTTTTTGAGAATTTTGAAAGCTTGTCTAGATTTTTGGGAAATTTAAAATATTTTGCTGGATTGCTTCCAGATTTAATGAGAATTTCAAAACTTTTTCTGGACTTTTTTTGGAAATGTCGAAATTTTTTCTAGTGTTTGTGGGAATTTTAACAATTTTTCTGAATCTTTTCGGAGATTCTAAAAGTTTTTTCCCTTTTTTCTGAGTTTTCGAGTTCGCTACCTGGCAGCACTTGCTGAAACGTTAAATTGGAAATAGTAATACATATTTATATAAAAAAATACACTTTCTAAAATCCCGCTNGGGGGGGGGGGGGGGGGCCCCCCCGGCGCCCCCCTATACCCCCTGACTCCGCCATTGAGGTATACACATATAAAGTATCTTTTTAAATTAAAACTTCTTTCAAATTCAAGAACTTGATAAATCCTTGTTTTTAATGTTAATATGTTCCTTCATAAAAATTCTATGTAACTAACAGCGGCGTAACCAGGATTTGTAGACCACTGGGGAAATTTCCATTAAGTCAAAAAAAAACAAGGGCTAAATAGGCAAGATTTTCATTTTTCATTGATGGGCCAAAACTTTTTAGCCCAACAAAGTATTGATAACGTAGAAAAAACACAAAAAGATAAAATAAAATGATGTTCATTTAACTACACAAAACAAATATGAGATTCTCTTAACCTAATATATATGAAATGAAATTCAGATTTTAAGCTTTCCTCAGACTTCCTAAGTTAGACATATTCTATTTTATCTTCAGTCTCTATTTATAACATTTGATTTTGAAATTCAAACACCAAAATCAAGACGACGATTGCATATTTTTACATATAATTTCAATATTTCAAAGAAAAGTGATGACTTAATAACATATTGGAAATGGCGGATCTACCATTACGGCTAACCGGCAAGGGGCACCCCCTTCACGAAATTTTTTTGATTATTCCCAGCAAAAATGAAACAGAAAAGAGTCGTATTGCTTCAAATAGGCTTTAAAAAACACTTTTTGACCAGGGGTGTCATCCCCTTACTGATTTTCTGGATCCGCCACTGCGTATTGGGTCGTTTTCCAGTTGGCACGGCTTAGTATTAGTCTTTTAAAACAGGGCAAAAGAGAACAATAAAATGATAAGTGGAAGTGCGCAATTTTATATAAACATATTTTTTTTCTTCTTTAGGCTTTTCTTATAATATAGTGGCGTGAAAGAAGAAACAAGACGGTAAACTGAACGAGATAGATTATAGTTCAATCGTTTTCTTTCCATGTCAGCATTTTGAGACAAGATAATAGAAAAGCACAAGTATACATATAGATACGTATGTACAATTATGCATTGGTCATTTTTTTTGTTCTGTTTTCTTCTATTAATTCTTCATAAGAACAAGGAAAGGGCACATATGTGATTCAAACGAAAGAAAAAAGACAGTAGCTAGTTTATTTAAAAGTAAATAATTGTGAAAAAGTAAAATTTCAATGGGCAAGGCTCAAAATGAAATGGGCAACTGCCCATTTGCCTCCCCGTAGTTACGCCGCTGGTAACTAATTATTTATTACTTTCATAGTATATAGAGAGCAGAAACTAACAGAATGAGTCTTCCAACTGTAGCCTTAATGAAATCATCCAACATTCAATCTCAAGACAAGATGTCTAAATCAATTTCTATCGGTTATTGTGACACTGATTAAGATTATAAAACACCAATAATGACATTCATTTGCTTCTTAATTATTCAACTAATAGAAAACTCTCTATTCTATTAATATTTATAATTAGTCAACGAGTAATTATAAGTATAAAAGACTACTTCGAAAGTTTATCATTTTGAAATGGATATATATTTTAATATAGACTAATGGAAGTGTTTTGAATAATTCTAGATAGAGTGATAATGATGATGAATCAAGCACTTGTTCACCAGATACTGATGAAGAAGATGATCGAATGGAAAGTCAGTATAATGTTCCATCCTCAAAACAGTTCTAAGTTTGCTTTTCTTCGATGCAAATCAACAATCAATCATCAATCAAATGAAAACAAATTTACCAGCGTTTTTTCGTACCATATTTCTAGCAATTGAATTAAATAGTGGCGCTGAAAAATGTGCGCGTAAACTACTTAAAATGAATGCATCTCTTGGACAAGAAGTATGTTTTTTTCATATATGAAAGAGCAGTATTTATTTATGCTCAAATCTAAATTGTAGACGGAAATATGTCAGATAATTATTGATAATTGTGCGCAAAGACGAAGGTATGAACCTTTTCTTGGTTTACTTGGTCAACGTCTTTGTTTACTAAAATCAGAATATGCTGAATGCTTTGAAAAAGCTTTTCATGATTGTGCCGATATTGATGGCACGCTCCGATGATTCTCCTTCTTTCTCTTTCTGTTCTCTCACCATTGTTCTGGTGCACAAACTCAAACGGGAATGAAAACAAGTCTTTACACAGTAAATCCAAAAGCGATTCGTGCTATTGAATTATATGCTACACTCGATCCATTGACACGTTGATCTATGATTTTTCATTTGATATAAAGGAGAAGTTTATCGATATATAGATGAATGAACTGATATCATCTTCTCAATGTTATATTGAATGATTAATCGGCCAATAACACGTAATGAAAGACGTTATATTGTATTTAATGGCGAAGTTGATGCCCTTTGGATTGAAAATATGGAATGTTTTCTCTTTGTCCATAAATCGAAAAAATTCATTTAATTCTATTCGAATTCAATTATGGATGATAATCAATTATTTACATTAGCTAACAGGGAACATATTCGTTTAAAGCATGAGATGTTGAATTCGAATTCGAATATAAATGAAGGTTCAACTACACAATATCAATTCAAAAATAAAAAAATCGGGCATTGATATAGTTACAGCAAAAAGCAAAAGATAAAATTTTATCCTAAATATAAATTTAATAATTCGAACTTAGACATTATCTATAAGCGACCCAAATGATTCCTCAACTTTCTATCTCCTGTCTTAAAGTATTGACACAATGGCAGGATTTGCTAGAAACCGAATGCAGGTTCCAGAGTGCATTTAAATGAACTCCTATATGCAATGCCGTAGCTGCTGAAACTGCGCCTCTGTTTTTTTCGAATGTTCGAAAGTCATCTTCTCACAAACTGGAGCATACACCTAGGAGGTGAAGGACTGTTTCTGGCGATCTTACCTATGCGTGTACCAATCACAACTATCGTATTGCAGCTCTCATGGATGCTACTAGTGTCCCCAGAAGTGCTACTGGCTGTCTCAGGAATGCTACCAGCAATCTCACAAGAGCTGGAAGCAACCTTAAGAATGCTTCAAGTTAGCTTAGGCACGCCAGTCGCATTCCCCTTTCCAGTTGTATCAAATTCAGATGTGATCGTAAGATACTCATTGGAAATAGCAAGCTCATCACGTACGTTAAGTATGACTTTTGTTGTTCGAAAAGCGTTTCTGCATATGTCGCATCTGTGGGTGCCACGACAGTGCTAATGGGTTGTGAGGGTGCATCGCTTAACTGTGGATGCCGCGAAGGGTGTGGGTGTGGGTGTGATTGGACTTATATGGGTACCTCAATTCGAACCATAAAATTTATATTTAGGATAAAATTTATCTTTATCTTTTGCCAGTGCACAATAGGATTTTCGGAAAATTTTCGTTTATATTCGAAGTCGAATTAGGCAGCTACTCCTATCGCCATGTATTTTTAATATTTATTTCAAACGTTTAATTTTTACTATTTTAAAGATAAAATATAAGAAAGAAATGAAAAATACATATTATATCTTTGATTAATTTTAACATTGGCACCAGAGCATGATTAAATATGGTTTTCTAATATATCATCCACACTATTCATCATATTTCGATTACGAAATGATATAAAATAAGTATGATTATTTGATGACAAATTAGATCGATATGATTTATTCAAATATTCAAGGTAGAACCTTTATTTTCATAGTTGAATTCAAATAGTTTGTAAATTATCTTTAGAAACAAAGAGATTCGAAGAAAAAAAATCATCCACAATATCGAGATACACTTTTTCTAAAATAGTCAAGAAGAAAATAATATTTACTGGTTTAACACAACGAACTTGCGACTCGGAATACATTAAATAAAACAGAAAGAAAATTTGTAAGTTTTTGTTTTTGATTATTATAAAGTTTATGGTGAAGGTCGTTTCAGTTTCCTTTTTTCAAATTTTTCTTCTAATTCTTGAATTCGTTTGTCTTTAGTACGAATAATTTTTTCACAAGTTTTTAATTTTTGGCGTAAAACTTCAATTTCTTCATCTTTAACTATTAAAACATTATCAAACAGAGCAGCACGTGGATTCTTCAATCTTTCACTTCGCGAAATAGATCCATACCCAGGTGCGATAGCAGTTCTTCTAGGTGTGAGTGGTGTTGGTACTAAGTATGGTAAACGATGACGCTCAACATTAAATGTACGCCATGTTTCCCATTGTAAACGCGATCTTCTTCCTGTACGAATTAAATGTTCTTCAATTTTCTCTCGTAAGTGAAGAAGAAATAATTCAACAGCGCGATTATCTCCATTTGTTATATCATGTACAACAGTACCAGGTGCATGTAAACTTATTTTAGGTAAAACATCAGAATTTAATAAACGCCAATTTTTAGCACGTTGTGACATATTTCGAGCGACATGAAACATTTCTAACTCAACATATTCAGGAAAAAAGTAAGCAACTATTTCAGCAATTAAGATTCCATCACCAAAATCTAGTTCTAAAGTATATACTGGCCGAGATAAAGGAATTGTATCGAGCCATGCTAATATATCATATTGAGCAGCTATTTGATACTGAGGTAAATGTTTTTGTCTGTGCATCAAAAAATCAATACTTGTTTCTGACATAGCAAATTGATGAAGAATATTTATTGAACAAAACAACTAAATAACTAAATAAAAGAAATGAGAATCATATTAATAGGATTTCAAAGATCGCAAGTTAATTTTTATCTTGTTCATTAGACAAAAAGCAAATTAAATGCTTACGGTGTCCATCCTCACCTCTAATGAAATAAGAACTTCATTTTGTACATAAAATCTTTATTATTTGAGTGAGAAAAAAGGAGAGAGAAAAAATACAAGATTAAGAGAGAATTATTTTTCTTTGCAAATATGCATCCAAACGAGAATAAACAATTATAAAATCAAAACTTCTCAACTTCATGACACATCATGATCTCAAATGTTGAAGTGTTGAATGTTTTTTTCTCAATGGAAGAAAAACAACAACGTTATTTACATAATTATTGCTTTGTTGAAAAAAAATAACAAAGAAAAACGAAACTATTATTTCTTCAAGGACACACATGATCAATATATTCAACAAAAAAAAAACTTTTCTGATATTACTTTCTGTTTGATTGAAAACAGATATGGATTCGTTTGTTATTTTTTCATTTAAAAAAACTGTTAAATACGTCAATTTATGGTTGACTTATTCAATTTAGCAACATGTAATCAACGTCTCTATGTGTATTGTTTCTCGTTTCATAACTGATCACAAGCAGCTCCTATGAACTGTTGTTTAGTCAAACAGAATCGAATAAAAAAAATCGATAAAAATCGCAAAACTTCAAGAAAATAATTATAACTATAAAAACATGAATAAACTCATATAAAAGCAGCGATTGAATGCATCAACAAGTTTAAACTTCTCTAAATGCAAGCATTTACACTGATTCATTTTGATCTGATCAATTTATTTTAAGAAAACTGTTAAAAATCAAATCAAATCAACGTTGTCAATCAATAGATTTGAATATTTCATTGAATAATTATACATAAGATATTGAATATTTATAGTAGTTTTAGTGAGTCGTTAGATATTCAATCGAAATATTTATTTACGATAAAATCAATATCTCCGCAATTGTATGTTCTTTAACTATTGGCATCTTTCTTCATTATAACAATTATTTCAATAGTTAAAAGTGAACGATATTCTCGATAGGTAATATCTATCACATTTGCTCAGTTCATATAATCATCAGTTCAGGATAAATACTTGTCTCAGCGATTCTTTAAAATATTTGTTCGCGTTCATATTTTTATTTTTAATTATTTTTTCAAAAGAGCGATAAGTTCAAAATATATCGTACATAATTGAATTCTTTAGAGGTAGAACCAAGAAAATATTCTGGGCGTAGCTTTACAAACAAGGAGCATCAACCTTTTTCAAAGTATTTTTTTTTCTTACAACTAAAATACAGCTGCAAGGCTTCTAGGTAACAAAGCTGATGTAGTCTTGAGCATTCTTTCGAATAATACATGAAAGAGAATACCGCAAATAAGAATATTTATGAAACATCGACTATTTTGAAGACGATTTTTTATTTAACATAGTTGGATCTTCTATATTAACTTGATTGATATAAAGTGTCATTTTGATAGATTTAACCAAAATGTTAACAATGTTATTCAATACAATTTATATTTATAAAATGTTTGCATTAAAAAGTAATAAATGGCAAAGAGATATTGATGCTTGAGGTTATATGCCGAAGTGAAATAGAATGAGTAACTTTTGTTGTTTTGTTTTTGAGTTTAAAATTTGAAAAATAAACTGTTTCATTTTACTCCTTGAAGATTGTTTTTTGAAAAGTGTACTGATTATCGGAAAAAAATAAGTAATGTGTTTTGTCACTAGAAAACAATATGAAAATATAAACATAAAAACTCATATTTAGCACCTAAAAATGATTAATGTTTTATTTTCATTGGTATCGCTCTTAGAAAATGTTGCTTCTACTTTAATCAAATTCAGTTCTACTTAGTGTTATTTACAATTAGGTGTGCTAATCACTCGAGATGAAAATACCTGACCCTGAAACTATGGAAGCGCATAAAAGTTGAAAAGAACTATGGTGGTCATTATTGACTGTGGATCACTACTAAATTTGCTATGATTTTCTTTTTACCTATTGGTTGATATTAACAATGAAATGATTTATACTTGCTGTGAGTTTATCTTCGATTTATTTATGTTTAACTTTACTAATGCCTCCCCCCCCCCTCTATACTATGGTTTATGAATGTCTATCTAATTGCAACTATAAAAGTATCGTTTCTTAAGAGTATCTAAAAACTTTTTCTAGACGAGTCCACATATATATCATAAATGGAATTCTTATCAGACAGTTTGCTTTTCGATATGGAAAAAATACTTGACAACTAACTATTGATTGCTGTATTCAATAAAATGATGTTAATCTAATCATATGCCATTCTAAATCATAACATCAAACTATTACTAACAAAGCATTCAAAGAATAAATTGAAGTTGAATATCAACGAGATTAAACATAAGATCCAACATATAAACATTAAAATGACGCAATTACACGCAAATTTCTCGTCCATTCACACATTGATGCTTAGATCAACCATTCATATTGAGTATTATGGATGATATTAATTTTTATGGCGTGCTTTGAGAATCGAGAAAAACAGATTGTAGCACATGCTTTTTCCACACTTGAATTAAAATAAACTCATAAATAGATATTCATAATAATCTTATTAAATTCTCAGATGAGATATTTAAAGTCATAGTCTAGCTTTGATTGTTGCTCAAAAGAATTTTTCTAGTCTACATCATTGGCTCAAAAATCAGCGAAAATATTTTTCTTAATATTTATGCGTTTGAAACTCAAGAAACGTGTACTGTCTTTACGCGAGATAAAACTTAGACGAGTTTCTTTTGCATTTCATATTTATATGTTAGTGAAGTTGAAAATCTTAACTTTTCAAAATTTCTAATTGAATATTGCCGTTAAAAAAATGCTTTACATATTTACTGAAATAATGAGATAAAAAATAAGATCATAAAATTTGTATCGACGACAATGTAAGTGAGTCCGGCGACGGCGAGAATAAACCTTACTTTATTGCTATTATTTTATTATTATTATGCTTTAATGAAAGGATTAGTACACTAAGACCTATTAATACGTCGTGGATTTCATTATTATTATTTATATCTACCTACACGACTCGAATTTCATTCACATTTCACTGCATCTCTAACGTAAGTCATTATTGTACTTCAAATTAAGTAGCTATTGTTGGTATATGATGAACTTTAAATGCTGATCTCTGAGCAATCATGATCTAATAATCGTGAATGAGAATTTTTAATCAAGACCGGACTTTTGACATAATAGCGCCTCCTGCATTTTCATGCTAATGACTACCTTATTGACACTATAAACTTGATTAGTCTTGGAATACGTGTAATAATATTAATCATCGATCGGAACTTGATATTCTTTTTTTCCTGATAAACATTCGATCTCAGTTTCTAAGTTTGCTACTTCTTTCTATTGGTTTTTCGCACCGATGATATAGGGTCCTAATGCAGTTTCCTACGCCAAAGAAGATTGAAAGCGTACGGCACGTGACACAATATCGTACCATTCCTCAATGTATTTTTCTTATCCGCATGACTTTATAGTGAGTTTGCACAGAAAAATCATCGCAACTAAACTAGAAAGTCATTATTTTCATACGAATTATAAGGTTAAACGATCGATCTGATTTGTCCGATCAGGATAATACAAAAAATATATTTATTCTATAAACGACTGAGGATTTCTATTCGATATTTACTTTTACAGGGAATCATCTCTTTCGATAAATATTTTTCATAATTCGTTTCTTTTAGAATTTCGATGTTCTTCATTTTTATTTTTCTAGATTATCGTTATGAAAATTTACAATTAAGAGATTTTTCACCTTCGACCTTCAGTGTTGTATCCTATGAGATACTCAATTCATTTTGTTGCGATGTTTGTGACAATACTACGCTGGATAGAGTCTTCTGTGATCATTGGTCTGTCTTTATCAAAAGTTACATTAGCACCTGGTTCCATAAAATCGATATGCATTTGTATAAAAATAAAGTCATCTTGTAAATAACTATTTCTATTTTTGATGAGAGTATCAACAGAGCAAAATCTTTCTATGTGAATTACAGTATTTTGATTTCTTAGAGGTTGATGAAGCGGCGCAGTTCGAGAATGCCATGGAATGGAATATTCGATATTTCTTTTTGCTTTTGTCAAGTCAAGAATAGCGAGTGTAACTGGATATACAAATGGCCATGATAGAATAGTATCGAACTCTCCACAAAGAATTATGAAAGAGATTGATACGTAACGTGCGTGATTCTGTTGATCTAGATATATACTACAGCTTAGTGCTAGTTTGTATCCACTTTGCGATGTGTGAACTGGTTCAGATTGTACTGCTTGTTCATTATCAATTATTGAAAGGATATTGACTTTGAATTTGTATGTGTTGTCAGATGAGATTAATTTTAGATCTACCATTGACATAGACTTGATTTCATGAAGAAGTTTATTCATGTTCGCCAATATTTGATTTATATTCTCAGCAAGTTTTTCATTTTTATCAAACGATTCTTTGAACTTCACACATTGTGCACGTACTTCCTGGATACCTGCTTCAAATTGTTGTCCTTCTGAGCTAAGACGTGAGCATTTACCAAGAATCGGATCTATTTCTTGGACTATTGAATCGATTTTTTCTATGTAATTTGTTAGCATGCGCCTATACTGTTCGTCAAGTAGTGTTTCTAACGCTAAATTTGAGTGCTTCTGAGAAGTTTGTGGAATTAATGTTTTAATGAACTGTATTAAACAATTTTGATGCTGATCACTTAAGCAATGCTGATTCATTTGCTCATATATCACCTAAAAGTAAATAAATATATCATAAAGGTATTCTTCAATCTTGAATCAAGGAAAAAATTAAAAGAACTATTTTATTAAAAGAATTAAATATTATTTGTTGAACCTAAGAAATTGAATGTATACGATTAAATTCTAGCAATGCATAGCTTTTAGAATGTCATGTAATCAATTAATAAATACCTCATTTGAGCAATGCAGAAAGACAAGTGGGCACTCGACAAGACGTTTTTTGCAGTTTTCATTTAGATGTTTTTCTACTTGTTGCGAAAAAATAAATTTTTCGCCACAATTTTCACATTCAAGATCATAATGGTTGTTTAGATGCCTCTAAAATATATATACTCTTCGATAATCTAAATGGGCTAAAAAAAGCGTTTTACTGGCAAGTCTGTAAAAAGTCCAAACCACTGATCATTGCATTTGGGACACTTTAGCGATAGGGATTCGAGTTCTCGTCTAAAACCTCTGTCATATTTCACCTAAAGATTGAATTAAAAATGTGACATTAAGTAAAGTAAATATTGATTTTATTTTACCTCCGGTATTCCTGGTGCGGTACAGAATGGACATTGTCTTTGGAGTTTAAGTCTACAAATATATATATTGATTATGTTAGAGATTATATAAATAAGCATATCATAATACTTAGATTCACTACAAAGTTCACAAATTCGCAGACCACAACAGATGAGTTGCATAGGTTGAAGGATCAAGTCATAACATAAACAGCATAATAGTCTTACAATGTCCAGATCCATCTCAAAATTGGAGCCGATTCTATTTCCACAGGTTTTGCGCAATTGATTGTTCTAAGTTTACGAATATCAATGTGAAACGATTATTTTTCTGAAAAATTGAACGTTGAAATGACAAAAAACCTATAACACGATGGCTATAAGAAAGCAGCAATTTTTTATGGAATTCTAAAAAACACTATAATTTCACCAAATCATGGCTCTTAGATTGAATTGAATCTGTTAGAATCGTTTACATTTTGATTAATGTTTTCTACATCAAGAAAATGAGAACGTATATTTTGTGATAGCCTATGTGTGTCTGAACGAGCATATTCGTGCTGCTTACCACCTACATCTAGGATGGTCGCTTATGAGTGTATGTTCAAGTGAGTATACGCTGTTTTTGTCTTATTCAAGATAGAAATACTTAATTTGCGCGTGTTTCTTTTATAGATATCACTTGACACAAGCTAGTTTTTATGCAAATATTGTTGCTTTCGGAATTCATTTAATTTTGGAAATTCGTATAACACATCATACGATATGAACCAATTATTGAATAGGGGTATGACAGTCCAGTTTTAGTTCCTATTCAAAGAACTGTTCAGGCAGTTCCCTAGATCTGTTCAAACAGTTCTTTTGATTTGATCTGAATTGTTCAAGCAGATCAAATAAGATCAGATCCCATAAGAGACTTCTATATCGATGTAGACATCATCCCAGTGTAGATCCTAACAGTTCTTAGATCAGATCTAAGAACTGTTCGAAGAGTTCTTTTGCTTATTTGACCTGAACTTAGATCTGAGAACTGTTATACCCGTATTACTGAACCTACGGTTATCATCACTGTTGCATCTGTGCTTATACTCACGTTCGTAGTCAACATGGTTGATATCGATATTTTCTAAACGATCATCCCCTTTTAAAAACGTGACTAGTGAGCTATAATAATTCTCAAGCCAACAATAACAACACAAAAAGAATCTAATGATAATTTATTCAGAAATTGAATTAACATTTCATCTGCTGTTTTATTCGTAATTTGTTAAACTTGAAAATTTACAATAAAAAAAATGTGATAACCCATAGTAATTCTTACTTATCAATCTTAGTATTAATAGATTGGAATTAACTAGAAGAACAGTTTATTCATACACGTAGTTCACTAATAATAATGATCATATTCAAAAAAGCGATATATCTCTAGTAAACTCTCCCTCAACATATCCGTTGAAATTCTCTATAAAACTTCCCGGGGACTCACGAAAGTAATTCATTGGAGAGTTTTCGGACAACTCCTATATATTGAATAAGCACTACAAGTGTTGTACGCTTCGTTGCTCATTTCACATCTATCCTTCCTCGTATTTCCAGTTGATATTCGACAATAAAATTCTGAGGATAAAATTGCATTGCCTTTATTCAGAAGGACCACTATCGAAATGCGGATAGAATTCGGCATTACAAAAATTGAGATTGTAAAATTTCGACTACAGAAGTTTCATAGAATTATTTCTAGATTAAACTAGAAAATCATAAAACTAAAATGATTAATATAAATAGTTCTACAAGAGTATAAGAAAACGTAAGAGTTAAATATACAGCGTGCCTTTGTGCTTGATTTTTCACGAAGATACTGCTTAAAATAATACCGAACTGTAATTATAATTTAAATATAACCTCTTCATTCGTTAGGGTGAAAGTCATTTTCTTTACTTAATTCATTTAATGGCATGTATATACAAATTTTGAAAATATTTCAAGTTAACAGTAAACTTGGAATCCGTATTTTTATTTAACTTCCTACTAGTGTTATTATTTAACGGCTGTAAGTGTAATACTAAAGTAACTAAAATCAACAGTACGATTCATATAATGACTCATCAAACGCAAACTACAAGAAAATATATGTTTGCAATCAATATAATAAGATAGTAGAATACAGATACAGAATACAGAATCTAACTTACTATTGCGAAAAATTGATCATACATCATTGCATTGAGTTAGTGAATATGAATGAAAAAATGTTGAATGAAAACAAAACATCAATTTTTTCATTGGCTTTCATTTTAGAAGAAAAAGCCAACTTCGCCCCCTCAATGAGTCACACAAACCGAAACAATCATTTCATATGTAATCAAAATCTCCAAACTGAAATGGAACCTTCCTATACACAAGTGAAACTTTTCTATGAATATGACAATGAATAAAGCGCCCCAGGTCAATGATTCTGGAGGACGGATACCTTAGGGACCGACCGGTAAAATGCGGAAAAATCACCGTATCTGGCCAGAAAGTGCTAGAAAGTGGAAGCAGTATTCCTACCGGAAATTGACGGATTTTTTTCCGGTATATTCCGATCATCTTCCAACCGGAAACTACAGGAAACTGACCGGAATCCTTAGGAAAAAATTCCGATAATTTCCGGCCGGAATACTGCTTCCACTTTCCAGCGATTTCCCGTCCTTTCCTGCCGTTTCCCACCGTACCTCTACGGCCTGGGAGGCTATAGCTAGAATGCATACAGTTTTCATATCAAATGGGTAGATGTAGGTGGCAGGTAGGCAAGTGATCGTTATTTATATCGACTCACCGGATCAGATGCAATCTATCCAATCCCGACGACGTAGTCACGCATACAATGTGAGACATGTCCATTGTTGTAACATATATGCCCATAGGAATTTAGAATAAAAAGTTATATAAGATCTTGTTAGTGTCTAGTTTTTGATGATGTGCACCTATTTGTTATAGATACTCGCGATACCAATATAAGATAAAATTTATTACCACCTGATTTGTTGCACTCGCGCTATATTCTTTGAGAGGATGACATTCATGAGTAGCATTGTCCGCAGTGGAGGATAGAGGATTACTACCAGCCATTGTAACTCGTTATTTTTCCGGTGAGCAACAATAATTTTCTTTGTTGTTTCTTACCACAGATCTCCACAGGGTGAGTTTTTGAACCCTGTCATGCCCTATTGAAAAAAAGAGCATAAATTAAAAATACATCCTGTTTCTATTCGGCTATGTGGCCCGGGCAGGGCAGAGTACCCTGTTGAATTCACGTAGTGTCTGTGCTGGACACGCAGGTCAATGATTCCTGAGAACGGATACTGCGGGAACCGGCAGGAAAATGCGGGGAAAACCACCGTATCCTGTAGGAAAACGCTGGAAATCGCGGGAATCGGAAGCAGTGTTTCGGCCGGAAATTTTTGGTTGTTTTCCGGTGATTTTCCAATCGGTTACTGCCTGAAAGCACAGGAAATCGCTGGGAATTCACAGGAAAAATTCCGACCGGAATACTGCTGCCACGTTTCCCGCCATACGAGTTCTGCCTGGGCGAATGCTTATGTTGGATTCCGTTAAATTCCGACACTAGAACCTATCGGAGTCCAACACTAGGATTCCGATTGTCGGTCGCACACCCGGATACCGATAGGGTTTCGTCGATTTAATGAAATCCATACTATATCCTATAAGCTTCCGACACGAATCCGATAGGATTCTACTGTCGGAATCATTCCCCTGAGTAATTTGCAATATATTTCAAAACAAAAACGCATTTTCCTCATTGTACCATAGAAGATATTTTATTTTATAGCAGTCTAGATAAATCACAACTGACCTGCTTAATCAACAACGGTTCATTTAACTGACACTTTTTTTGCATGATAGAGGCAAGTGTTTGATGAATTCATGCGCAAATCGTTTAAAAATAGTCTTGTTCCATTCTTGAAACATTACATTTTTTTAATCTACCTGCCCAGATCAAACAAGTACGGTCGTTTACGGTCGTCGTATACACAGTTCGTAATACAATCTCCGTTTTATTCCGTATTTCTCCGTATACGGTCACGCCGATATACGACTGTAATACTGGACCATGTAAAACGCTAAAATACGTTCGTTTGCGGTCGTATAGGAAGCGTATACGAAGTCCGTAATCGTCGACCTGGGTACGGTACTGAAGCTCAACTCATCGATCATTCATCTGTTCGAGCTCATATTTTAAGGAAAAATGTCTCAACTAAAGATGCACATACAGTAAAAACTTCAAGCAAAACAAATACTTTCTTGACGAGATATAAGTCTGATAAAAAATCACAAAATAGTCAATTTTTGAGGAGGATGCTCTTACAAAAAATCTATTATCTCAAGAGCGAAAATTTTTTTTTGAAACGGCTCGTAGAAACTCACCCAGTCCTGCTTCAGGTCAGAGTAACACCCAAACACCCACACCCTCAAATCTCTAATTGAATAATTCCCAACAATATCTTTGATGTTGACTGGAGAAAAAAGAATTCCTACGCAAGTCTATCCATAACACTTGACCAGATAAGATAAAGATATCCACTCATATAAAATGACAATAATCGTTGAATCATCTATTCTAGAATAATTTATGTATCGATAAATCTCTATTTTGTTGATATTATTTTCGCCGCGGTGGCTCAGTCGGTAGAGCGTCAGTCTCATAATCTGAAGGCCGTGAGTTCGATCCTCACCCGGGGCAGATCTCCTTTTTTGGGTCCTCTGTTCGATTTATTTCTATACAGATAATATAAACAAGAACTATTCTAATGCAATACAAATATTCTCTTTCATCTTGACATTTCAGATGCAATTATCTTCCGACTTATCAATTGTAAACTATCAATAGTTGTAATTTTTTTGTATAATTAGAAGAACAAAATGTGACTTTCCATCGACTGAATTTCTTCTTTGAAAATATATCCAATGTCGATTGCTTCTATTTGATATCTCTTCTGAGAAATATCGAAAACTATTTTCACAGGCTAGAATAATTAAGTAGTTATCAAAATTTGTGTTAATCCTCTTATTATCTGTTTGAATAAACACACAAATAATAAATTTGTTTTTCTTCTCTTAATCATCGTAACATGGTCATCACACCCAAGAGCAGAAACAAAATGAGAAAAGAAATGGTAGAAAAAAGACAAAGGTATTTCATCATCAGTAAAGAGAGCTTTTTTTAACGAGATAACACAACAAACAAGAAAACGTCATCATAGATAAACTGTCACTCAACTAGGAAAAAATTGAAACGTAAGTCAATCAATCATTGTTGTTCCGATGGAGGAGCTGATCGAATTTGTTGACGTTGTTCATTATTTTGTTGATATGGAGCAGGTTTTTGATATTCGTTCGAATTATTATAATAGCCACGATTACCACCACGAGGATTTCCTCCACGATTACCTTCAAAATAATTTACAAGTGAATATATTTAAGTCGATGTTACTTCTTACCACGATAGTTCGAACTAGATCCATTTCTTGCTCGGTTGCTATCATTGAATTGTCGTTGGCCATTACCGTAAGAGTTATCATATCGACTACCACCTTATAATAATTAAAAATAGTATCTTATTTATTGGCAAAATAGAAGTCAAGGTCTCGATGGTTAACTTATGCAAGAGGATTTCTTTGCATATATAATTGTATATCTCGCCTTGGCTTGACTATGCTTTTATCCTTGGACAGAATGCCTAATCTATCATAGATCAGACAAGGAGATTATTTTAATATATTGAAATATACATTTCTTACGCTTAAAAAACGATTTCTATTTTTGTCAAAAAAAACAAATCTTTCAAAGTTCATTAGATAAATAATCACTATATTTAGCATCAACTCATATACAATAGGAGAGTATTTTTTCAGTCGAATTCTTTAACCGAGAAATATTTCTATTTATAAAATAAAAACCTCCAAAAAAATAATTACGTGATCCTCTCCATTGTTGCTGATGATAAGAATTTGGTCCACCACGATTATAATGCTTGTTTCCACTTCCATTATGATATTGTACTGTTCTTTGAGTAGCTCCATTACCGCCTTGATGTTGCCATTGTTCATCTAAATGGTGTTGATCATCATTTGTAGAAACAACCTTAGCTGATTCTTCTTGTTGTTGATTTTGCATCGATGATGACGTTTGATCATTAATGTCTGAATAAAAAATAAAATGAAATCGAAATCGAAAAATAAAGATTTCGAATAAAAATGCGTTTACTTGAATTGACTACAGTAAATGTTTGTAAATATTGATTTGGATCAGGTGATTGATCGCGATTATTGTCTTGAGTTTGTTGATTATTCATGTCAATAGAAAAGAAAGGACTATTTTGTATAATTTGTTCAAGTGGAATATTTTCATTTCTTGTATCAAATTGTGATGGATATTCATTTATATTTCTATTAGCTGATTGAATATCATTTGTTTCTTTTGTTTCTTTTCTTTGTTCTTCTTGTGGAGGAGGTACAGAAGACGAAGTAGAAGTTGTTTGAAGATCAATATCTTTTATGAATTGTTCGAATATTTCCCGTAGTTCTTGTGGTGTTTTTCCTGTAACCGCTTTTATTATCGATGATGGACCACCTTGATAAATTGATAAAACCGTATCGACTGAACGAGATATTGAATTTAATGAGTTATCTGATGGGATTATTATAGCAGATAACGCATCTAACAATGCTGATTCTTCAGGTTTTAATGACTGAAATAAAAATAGATATGAGAATTGACGACTAGTTTTTTTCTAAATTTCTTGGCTAACTGTTGGTCGATGATCAAATAAATATCGAATTTGTGCATATTCACGTAAACGTTCCGAGATTAATAAGCGCTTTTCTTCAGTTGCTTGTTTTGAAAGACGTTTCTGATTTTTGACTGACTAAAATAATTTTTTTTGATAACGATTTACGAAAAAAAGTAAATAAATAAAAAGAAAACCTCTGTTTGAATTTTTTTAAATTGTTCACTGAGTTCTTTAACACATTCGATTTGACCAAGAACTTCAGGATATTTAGCTAATGCTTCTTTCTGATCTTTATTTAATTCTTTACCATCTTTTGCTTCTTTTTCATAAATTTCTAATTTCTCCTGAACAAAAAACGGAAGTGAATTCTTTAGGAAAAGAATGTTTAAGAAAGAAAGTACCTTTCGTTTTCCTAAATTTCGCTGTTTTTTTTCTAAAACGAGAATAGCTTGTATTATTGGATCATTACTATTTGGATCCATTGATGTTGTTTGTTGTGTTGGTGGTGGCGGTGGTGGTGTAGATTTTCCATGGTTATTTGATGATGTTTGTTGTTGTTGTTGTTGTTGTTGAAAATCAGTACCAGACGGCATTCTCATCAATACTAATTTATGTGGATGATCAAGTCAAAAACAAGAATAATAAACAAAGTTTCTAGATTTTTTTTGTTTTTGAAAAATAAAATCAAAATCTAAAACAATGTCGCATTTACAGAGAAAAATTACGTCGAACAAATGTAAAATAAGCAAATATTGCCCTTAAATGGATTCTTATAGAAACTTAAAGGGAGACTGAGGAGGCCAATCCATAAGGACAAATCTATGGTAGTAGTTTTAAGCAGTCAATTTTAACTGGATTTATTTTTATTTTTATTTATATAAGATTATATTCAATTACTTATTTCATATAAACAATAAAATAAGTTTAATATATACATAAGTCATTAACAGATGTCCTTATGTGTCAATGAAGACAAAATCCGTTCGAAATAATTTATGTATAAGGATTATTCTGAAATCATCTAATCACATAGAAAGAAAATCTAGAAATATTATACTTACTCCTTTTGATTCTAATGTTCCTAAAACGTTTCGACCAGTGCATCAATGCAGGTAGTTACCATGCACGTAGGATATCTTGGAGCTGTATTCAAGTATTCCGCAACTGGATTCGCCTACAGGTTATACCAAAGCGTAAAAAGACTATACCAACGTAGATCTCGACGAGTTCTATCGATTCCGTTAATTACCTTTTTTTAACAGGACCCTCCATTCAAGGAGAAAAACCTGAAGTACTAGCAAAAATTAACAAAAAATTCAGTATTTTTTGTAAAACTTGTCGCGATTCGCTCAAAGGTTAGACCAAACGACGAAGCTTTATCGGGAGATAGAGCTTGAGACGCTCTATCGAATGATCACCATTCCGGCCAAATTCCATTATCCGATCCCTGAAAACCAACTGAACAAGATCTGGAGTCGGATTTTCTCTGTAACTCGCACCGGGATTCACCTGTAGGTTATCCAAGATAAAACTCGCCGAGTCCTACCGAATAGACACCTTTTAAGCTCAATTCCATGCTAGCATCCCCACCGAAAGAGCAAATCCAGATCTTAATCCAAGGTTCCTTAGAAAATTTATTGTTTTTCTATTTTGGTTTTGTACCCAACACATAAAATTAAACATTAATAAATTTTATTTTTTTGAAAGAAAAAAGCTAAAGATTTCTTATTCTTTTATTATTTTGTTTTTTTCCTAATAATTTTTAGTCCTGTTTGATTTGAACGGTTTGATATGACGGTAAGTGAACGACATCATCTTATTCATATTTTATTATTTTCTTGAAAAAACGATACATGTGGAGGCATAGGAAAAAAGCTATTGGCTAATAAGGTTCTTAACGTATGAAGAAGAAAAAAGCATTTTTCTCTGTTTTTGGACTTCATACAAATAAGACCCTATTCACCAATAGTTTTCTTTTCTCTTTCTTCATATATACAATTTCTTGACGAAAATAAAATAAAATAAAATATTAGAATTTCGTTGATTTACGAACATCTCAACTATTTCAAATTAAAAAGATATTAGAATTAGAAAAAAATAAAAATAAAATCTAACACATAAAAAAGAAGACTTAGAAACATATTTCCATCTTGAATATAAAGGAAACAAAATCTATTAATGTTCGCTTTTGTATGTTAGATACAAAAAAAAGAAATACTAATTCTAATGAATGTTGAACGATGATCTGAATTTGCCCTTTCGGAGGGGATCTTAGCATGAAATAGTGCTCGAAAGATATTCATTCGGTAGAGCTCGGCGAGTTCTATCTTGGTATACCACTTTTATCTTTTGGTATAACCTACAGGTGAATCCCGGTGCGAGTTACAGAGAAAATCCGACTCCAGATCTTGTTCAGTTGGTTTTTCAGGGATCGGATAATGGAATTTGGCCGGAATGGTGATCATTCGATAGAGCATCTCAAGCTCTGTCTCCTGATAAAGCTTCGTCGTTTGGTCTAACCTTTGAGCGAATCGCGACAAGTTTTACAAAAAACACTGAATTTTTTGTTAATTTTTGCTAGTACTTCAGGTTTTTCTCCTTGAATGGAGGGTCCTGTTAAAAAAAGGTAATTAGCGGAATCGATAGAACTCGTCGAGATCTACGTTGGTATAGTCTTTTTACGCTTTGGTATAACCTGCAGGCGAATCCAGTTGCGGAATACTTGAATCCAGCTCCAAAATATCCTACGTATAGTTAAGAATTGATCAAGTAAAACTAATTGATTGATATGGTTGAGGATGATACGAAAAATAGTTATTTTCTTTTTCATTGCATTCATATTGGAAGTATGAATTTCTTAATCTACTCTTGAGTTGCATGGCCATATATTAAAATACTAGTTTTTTCAATAAACTGACTATAAAACAAAAGTATTAGTATTATTCCACCTGGAAGAGAAGTGAAGATTAATGATTGAAGAACTAAGTGTATAGCTACTACAAAATACATTTCTTTTGAACTTTTATAATTGATATTGATTGATTCCATTAAATGTAAAAGAATTCCAATTTTCAAAACTACTCTAATATTGACGACAGATAAATTTTTGTAGTATTAAGCATTTCAACTATAGCTCGATGTAAAACAATTCATAAAAAAGTCTGGTTTTATCTTGAAAATTTATCTTCAAATTTTTTACAACAGAGAATTGTAAAACGTAATGGAATCGAAATGAAACCTCTTTTTGATACTATTCTACTCATAGTTCTTATCAGATTGAGTATAACAATTTAATTCTACACTATTATTATAATGATAAAAAGTGTTTTCAAAAATTGATTATTGTCAAATAAATATTTAAATAAACATGCTGTAGAATTTTTAACTTCTTAGAGCTGGTTAAGTAATGCAACTGTTTACTCCAATGACAAACAAAATAAAAAAGTGCTGACAGGAGCTCTTTTACTATTTATGCACTAAAATAATAAAATAATATCACTTCAGTCTTCATATATTCATTTTACAGATCTTCTATTTATATAACTCAAGAAAATTCAATGATGGCTCTATTCGAGGAGTCCTATATGTTTTGTTTTTATCATTTGTTGATAGATATGCGCGTAGAAAAATTTTGAATAATTTGATTATTTTTGTTTTTGTTCACATCTTAGAACTTTTTATTATTCATTTAATGTTTCGATTTCGATTTTCGATGAAAAAATACAAATGGTAAATTCTTTAACGAGGAATCCCATGTAAAACTTTTGATCCAAAAACGTTACTGATAAGTACTTTTAACATTTTTTCACCTAGGGCAAAAAATACTTATAACTGAACCTTTTTCATAGTGGCTACTACTATGCTTATAAGTAAAAAGTACTTTTTAGTACTTCCAAAAGTACCTATTAGTAATTCCAAATGTAATTATTAGTACTTTTACTTATAAGTATACTAATATTCACTTAAAAAGGTTCCATTATAAGTACTATTTCTACTTTATCGCTTTTCGAAGTAATTAAAAATACTTTTGATAGTAATTATTAGTATACTTCCAAAAGTACTAAAAACTGCTTCTGTAATTATACTTTTAATTAATAGAATAACTTAAGTACTTAGTAGTAATCGATATACAACATTTGCAAAATTCACGTCGAAACAATAAAAACGCTCATGACTAACCGAGAGACTTTTATTTTCCAATGAACACTACTGAAATTGGTGACTATCTGTATAGCTATCCACTTCCAGCCAAGTTTTATCCACCATCTATCCCGTATGATACAGTTGCCAGAGTAGCACTGCTGACTTCCATTACTATATAATATTCTATAATACAATGAGAAAAGAAAACAAAGTACTTGACCCAGGACGAACAATCCGATACCTGGATCCAACCGGACTCGATCGGATTTCGATCGGTTCCTGCAGGATTCTAAGTAAATCCGGGTTGCAGACCCACTCACGGATCCTAGTGTTGGAATCCGATCGATTCTTGCAGGAACCGGTGAAAATCCGATAGGTTTCTTTAGGATCTCGTTAGAATCCGACTTCTAAAATTCCTATCGAATTCAACTGTTGGATTTGGTCGGATGTTCACCGGATTCCAACACTAGGGACCCGTTAGTAGCTCCTCAACCCGGAATCTCATGGGACTTTGTCGGCTCGTCGGATTTATAAGATCTGATCGGATTCATTCGCCTGGGGATTCGGTGAGCGTGCTAAATTATCAAATACTGAGTGCATTTCAAGGGACAAAAGGTGAAATAGTATAAAAGAATGTATGACTGAACGTTGATTAATCCATAAGAGCATGTCTTGAAATATGAGAAATTTGATGAAAGAAATTGCGTTAACTAAAACTTACTATAACATTATATATATTATTGACTGAGTTTCGTGTCTATATGACAGAAAAATAGATGATCATGAAAAACAATGAAATGAAAAGTAGATAGTAATAGCTATTTGTAGATGATAACGAATAACTAGCGTAAGTAACATATTTCTTTCTCATTGTACTATAGACTATTGCATAGTAATGGGCGCCAACAGGTATGACTTTGATATCTGTATCATGCGGGATAGATGGTGGAGAAAACTTGGCTGGAAGTGGATAGGTACACAGATAGTCACCAAATTCAGTAGTGTTCATTGGAAAATAAAAGTCTCTCAGTTACCAATGAGGATATCTACCGGGTATCCCAGAAATAAGCGACCAAAAAAGAAAATTGAATATCTCCATTACGGCTGGAGCAAACGTGATGGGTTTTTACCAGTGATAGAGATATGTACCAAGTTTATATCCATAAAGACATATGCCTAGAGAGTTCCTTTACTACCCAGGTCGATCGTCCTGAGTCGTAAACGGCCGTATACCTATTGTAGCGAACAACTAGATTAGAGTAGCTTGTGCCATTCTCGGCAAAGATGTTTATTAGGCTACTTCAAATATCCAGAGTGTAACGACAAAACTAGAGAGTGTCGCCTATGCCCGTCGGTATGATGGTGTATTGTGTCATCTGACATCTCTAGTCGTGTCACAACTTCATACGTAACACACGTATATATAGGAGAGAGATAGGAGAGAGACAGGGTAGAGAGATATTAGAACAATGGAAAGAGAACAGAAAGAGAATGAAGGAGAATCATCGAAGCGTGCCATCAATATCGGCACACCTATCACTGGCGGTAAAAATCGGCGACCATATTTTGTAGTCGTTTACTGTTATCGTAAACGAAGTGTTAAGATGAAATCAGCAGTGCCCAAGGACTGAGAAACAAGAATTTCTAATGTGCAGAACCATTGTCAGTGTTGCTGTGATAATACCGAGAGGAAATGGGAATCAACTATCAGTTTCCTCGCAGCTTCACCATTCACGAAAGTCGTGATATTGCTGTTTTAAAAACAATTTTCGCATGAAACTAATGATTCTCACAATTTTGCAAGCGAAAGAGTGTAAGAACAAAAATTATCGTGAATATCTCATATTTTTACCTTTAGTATGCAAAGAATTTTAGGAGAACTGATGAGGAATTCCTAATCTTCAGCCCTTGGACACCCCTCACGGTATCCGTTTTCCGGAATCATTGACCTGGAAAGTACTGCTTAAAAATGAGTGAACCGCAAGAATCACTTTTTTAACCACAAAAGTTAATACTAAATACTTCTTGAAAAGCTAGAAATAACATAAAGTACTTCCAAAAGTATAGAAACTAATAAAATAAACTTTATAGCACAAAAAGTACTATTAAGTACTTCCTGAAAAGTTGAAAAAATCGAAATAAGTACTATAAAAAGTGAAAAATAGTGAAAAAAGTTAATTTATTTTACTTTATTAATATTACAAGTACTTAAAAGTTGTTTTTTTTTCACTTTTGTTTTACACGGGATAGGATCAATTATTTTTAATTTAATACTCGAGATATACGAAGTGAGAAATATAGGATGTTTAAAATACTTTTTCTTGTTTTAATTGCTTAATCATTTAAAATAGCATGGGTCCTTCCGGTTTTAGAATGTATAACATACAATAATAAGGACAACGAATATTTGTCATGAATCTAAACTTTCGTTAGATATAAATTAATTGATATTGATTTATCATTAAATAAAAAGATAAACCATATTAATTTGAGAATATCTCCAAACATGAGACGCTATTTCAATCGACGTTATCGATGACAGTTGATAGAATTCTATGAGTTGATTATGTAGATACAATGTAGTCGTGTTCGTAAGAGGCTTTTGAGAAGAAATTTCATGTGAACTATACACATTCATAGAACAAGTAAATAATAGACACTATATTGGAAATCTTAGTTTTCAGCAATAGTCATTGACTTGATCAACTTTCTAAGAGTGTGCTCGGATATGATAGTTAACTTAAAATAAAATATAATGAAAATGTAAAAGTCGAAAGAGAACTTACACGTAACATACTTCAGATCAATAAATGTAGAAGAATAACTAAATAAAACTTGTTATGAAAATAAAACAATAGAAAGCGACAGATTACTGCCTAAATACGATCTTACAATAAGGTTCACAATGGAAGTGATACATTTTAATGAAAGATTTAATTTTTTCTTATGTCATTAGAACAACCCACAAAATGAATGAATGATGATATTGTTTCAGTCACTGATCTTTTTATTGAAACTAATAAGTTTAAAATTTTGACAATATCTTTACTCTAACGAGTGCTTCAACGCATTAAATTTTGCCATTTTGTTGATGCAAAACCTAGTTGTATCTAGTCCATTCTGTGATATAAGTATTACACTCTTCGCTGTAACAAGCGTTGATTGATCCACAAAATATTTGAATAAAATAGATGTGAACGACAGGATTTAGATTCTTTAATTATTTATGGTTCCAAGATTACAAAATGCTTACTGAATTGTCGAATATTCATCTCTTTCGTCAATGACGAAAGTCCAATTGACGAATTTCTTCCTACTCGTTTTAACTATCTCTATAGATTTTGGACAATGTCATATCATTCCCATGCTGGGTGTGCGGAGCTCAACTAGTTGTTGTTTTAAAGTGATCTAATAACAATTGTATATGAAAATATCAATAATAAATGTTTATCATGTTTCGACTAGCAATCTTACTTGCTGTACTTTCTCATATTCATATATGAGGGGAAAAGCCTATATACAAAGTATCGACGATTGAAAAACGATTAGCTGAGAAATATGAGATTATTCCATCTATAATAGAGTATGCTACCAGAATCTTAGTGTAAGATTTGCTTGAGTACGAGGTATGTAATAATGATAATGATTTTGATGGTAATAAATCGGCAGTTTTATATGTAGTTTTACAAAATCCTGGAATTTTCGACCTTGTTGTAATTCATGAGAGGTTTGTGATGAATTATATGTACAGTCATCATCAGCAGTTAACATCATCTGAGACTAAATTCACTCACATATAATAATAATGCATAACATTCATTTATACTTTATATTACGTTGATCAATTAACTAGTCATATGTTGATAAATATTCGTATTTAATATTAGTACTAAATATTGACACTTGGTATTTTTGTACTTGATATTCGTTTATTTGAAACATCGACGTATTAATTATTAGTGAATTTTAGATTTACGATACAGAATTAATTTATCTCTATAGTTATGCTATCGTATAAGGTTATGGAGTAGTTTATATTGTTATAGTAATCAACATGAATTTAGTCTCAGATGATGTTAACTGCTGATGATGACTGTACATATAATTCATCACAAACATCTCATGAATTACAACAAGATCGAAAATTCCAGGATTTTGTAAAACTACATATAAAACTACCGATTTATTACCATTAAAATCATTATCACTATTACATACCTCGTAATCAAGCAAATCTTACACTATTTAAACTATTCAAGATATTTCGAATATTAATATTAAGTTATTGTGTTCAACTAAAGTCTTCAGTGTAAAGAAGTATGAAGAAGAGCACATGAAATATTATAAGATATTTGAAACGTTGATCTTTCACGGTATTTTTATTTCGAGAAAAATTTAAAATGAACTTTTCTTCCGATCGAATTCGCAATTTGAAAAGACATTTCTATTGCACGCTATACTAATGTAAAAATATGTACGTTTGAAATTGATATCTTAAATATATATTTATTTCGAATAATTTTATTTGAATTCTTTTCTTTATTTTTATCAAATTTTTATTTTTATTAAGAAACTTTGAAAATAATTTAAGTTAGGACAACAGAAGGGATTCAGTTAAATGAACTTTAACAGATTTTGCCATACTCTCGTTCTTCTTTCACTCAATTTAAACGGCTTCTTCAAAAGCATATTAATATTAAATTTTCTTAGATATTAGTACTTTATGTCATAAGAAAATACTGAATTGGTAATAATGTTCGAAGAAATGATCGGAATATGGCTCTTTACTAATCGATGAGTAAGACAAGAGAAAAAAGTAATTTATATTAGATACGCTTTCTAATGAACCTTGCTTACATTAGGTATACGTCAGTGTCGATAGTCACACTCATTTAATTGATGATTAGAATTAAGTTATCTACAAAATTTAATTCTCGTAGCAAATTATTATCGATTTCCTCTATTAGCATGGAAGTAAAATCATCATTGTTAAATCATAGTTTTATTTATTTCTGTCGTTCGTTTCTAAATTATTCTTGAATCAACTCATTCACTGAAGTATATATCACGTATCGAAACATTCATACGGATTAATCCAACAAAATAAAGATCAACCTGTATATAAAAAGTAGTCGATGGTAAATTATTTTTTGTTTACAAGTAAAATATGACTCGGTTTCTTATTTCTTATTTGATGAATTAGCCTTCGTCACATGCCAAGCGTAACGATTTTACTTAATCGATAAGAAACAGCGCAGGCAAGCATGACACTTGATGCTTTTTACTCACTAATGAAATACTTCTTCTTATTTTCTATAGAGTGTATGAGTGTACTTGTGTGTGTGGGAGAAGTCACATGTCAAATACTTATTTAATATTAGAAATAAGTTAGCGCATATTTGTTTTTATAACAGCAAGAATGAGAAATCCTGTATGGAGACCAGCTCAACGTCATGTTGGCTTTGTTCAAGCGGCACCTTCTCCCCGATCTGCTATGGGATTTATTAAAAAAATTCTTAATGATTGGTCATTAAATTTCGGCTCATTACTTGCATATACTTTCATCATAGCTCTTTTACCCATAGCTGTAGCAGCGTTCGGTATATTTGCACTTGTTTTCAGAGGAAGTCCAGGAGCGAGGCAAAATATTATTGATGGAATTGTCAATTCAGTACAAGACAATAATACAAAAACAGCTGTTCTGCAAGTATGTAGAAATAAAACTAAATGAAGTTCTTGGAAAAAGCAACGTTAATAAATGATTTCAGATAACTAATATAGCTGCTAATAATCTTGAAAGTGATGCAGGTGGAATTCTTGCCTTGGGTATCGTATTTTCAATATGGGGTGGATCTCGTTTGTTTGTTGCAATTGATAATGTTTTTACAATAATTTATCGTACACAGACTCGGTCATTTATTGCTCAAAATTTATTAGCTATTGGAATGCTTATTTTATTTATAATACTTATTATAATCATGTTTGGTGCAAGTGGTGCGCCATCGTTTTTAATAAATACATTACCGAATCAAAATGGTGCACTATTTGGTATATTTGCTGCTGGAATAGCTATATCGATTTTTACTGCTTTCATTCTATTTATTTTAATTTATCTAATTATACCTAATAAAAAAATGAAACTAAAACATACTTGGCTTGGTGCATTAATTGGAGCAATTTTACTGGATATATTTATTGTTTTGTTTCCATTATATATTCGGAGATTTATGGGTTCATTCATTGGTCTTATTGGTTTTGCTATTATTTTAATTACATTTTTTTATTATTTTTCAATTATTACTATTTTAGGTGCACAAATTAATGCATACTTTTTTGATCGTATACAGCCATTACCTGAAGATTTAGGCACTTTCTTAAGTCAAGCTGTTAGCAGAATAATTAAAATAACAACAGCAAGACCAATATTTAATACTGTTCAATATCCTAGATCAATAAGATCAAGGTCATATTATTAATACCAATTCAAAGAATAAAAATCAATTATAAATGGGCATATTATATCACTATTTCTTTGTTTCTTGGCAAAATTATGTATCAAAATAAAAAATATCTTGAAATCTAACAGATAACAAGAAATGATTTTTTTTTAAATCGGATGTATCAGGTAGAATTGTATCAGCAAACAGTGTGCATTATAGCTAGATTTAAAATACTTCCAGTTGTTTTGATTGTGACAACTAGTTCAATAGTTCTTCTTTGATAGAAATTGACCTATAGAAAAAAAACTACTTACTAATGAACTGATACTGCTTGATGTCCCATTTCAACATATACATTGGATCTGTCATTGTCTCCTTACTGGTCATTTGTCTGAGCTGTGCGTTAGTATTACACTGAAGATAACAAAAACATCATTCAACAATAAAAAAACAACTAGTTCAAGAGAAAAGAAATCCTCACCACATACAGGCCAAAGAACTGAGAATCGTTGCATGTCTCGTTATAAGTCAAACACCTTGAAAACATGTAGATCTAATTGCAGTTCTCATTACAAGTCAAACACCTTGAAAACATTTAGATTTAATTGCAGTTCTCATCAACAAACTAATTAATGTAGAATAGAAATCGGTAATGGTGTGATCAGACAAAGTCATTTCAATTTCAAGTCATTTAGTTTCTATAAACTGTCAATAGTTGCAAATTTTAAGTATTCATTTTTGTCTGATTGTCAAATTTGATTACGATTTATCATCTGAAATAGAAAATATCTATTATAAATTCAGAAATAAAACATTTTAAAAAGAAAATTTGAGATAATATCATAAAATTTAAGCAAAAACAGACTCAAAACCTCAAAGTTCATGAAACTTATTTTTGTATGATTTATAAATCTTCCTGTGTAACTTGACGAATTCTTGTTCACGAGCACAACAATTGAAGAATCTATTTTACTTGAACTTTGAATTATTGACACATAATATACGCTGTTCATAATTTCAAAAAATGATATATCTCAGTCTCTGCCAGAGACGTGCACAGGGCAGGACGGTCCTGTTGTCTTGTCCTGTCCTGTCCTGTCGCCTGCCAGGACCCAGGTAGTCAACAGGACAGGAGACAAAAGTGGTGCCCTGTGCACGTCTCTGGTTACGATCACAAATCAAAACATGTCGAGTATTTCTGTTAATTTTAATCTCTTAAATCAATCATTAATTATCATCCATAGTTGATCCATAAAAAGAAATGATTCTTTCAAGTATGTTGCTAATGTCTTTCAAAACTACGAAGTCGTTTCTTAATTTCTCTGAAAACATAACCGAAAGTCTCCGACAGCATGCCAAGTATAAATAGTATTAAAAATGTCTCGAGATAAGCTTGCGATATTTCCATAGGCAATTTTTTTGAATAACAAATAATAGTGATTGTCAATTTTTCTTCGCCCCTCCACTCGAATCAAAACTATAGGATAATGTTTTCGTTTGATTTAGTAATAAATCAGAGCCATGATTCATCGTATTGCTACTTAACGTTGTTAAATCAAAAAAGTTTATGAAAATCTACAAAAATTGTTGAAATAAGGAATAAAAGAAAACGTTTTGTGGTGATATATTTATAGTTATTTGATTAAAACTTGTTCAGTTGAATGATATAAAAGTTTTAATTGTTACAAAAAGATAATGAAATCTTTTTTTTTGGAGGTGGCTCACATTCAATTTGAGATTTGAAAAACAAGTAGTAACTTGTGAGAATGCATCATTTTTTTCATTGAAATGTAAAACTGTTACTAAATATAATTTTTGAAACCTCCTTTTCCAAGAAATATTCACTCATGGGAATTTTTGAAGAAACACACACCGGCTCTTATTTGCAAACATGTTGAATTCTAACTGTTAAAAATCAAAATAGATTTTAACCAAATACTGAATGCGCCATGGTTTTTTACAATTTTCTATCCATTTCAAATATGAAGTATTGATCGAAGTGTGTTAAATAGTTTTAAATTTTATTGTACATTCAGAATTATCTTATATTCATCATATGAAATTAATATATATTTTTGAATTAATCAGAACAAATTTTTTCTATTTTGTTAAAAATAGATTATGCTTCCATGATTTGTTCATCGCTGTTTTCCAAAATTTGAACGTTTGCAACATCTACATTTAGAAAGCAATCTTTCAATGCTACATTCAATTTTGACATATACACAAGTAACTATATGGTTTCTATGTTGCGGGCGTGTACAAGTAATCAGAACAGATTATCAACTTTGAATTTGACTTTTATAATCTGCACATTTATACTGTATCTAGTATTAACAGAAAAAAGCCGAAATAGTCAAAGTTCAAAGGAGGAGACTGTGACTTTTTAATGAGTGTAAATTTGTTTTGTTTTTACAAAGAAATCGAGAAGAACTTTTGGCAATGCAGAGAAAAAATGAAGTTTTGGTAAGTTCCAATCAGTTTCAGTCATTTCATAAGCATCTATCCCCGTTGCATCCTAGCCGTATCAACTTGATTTCTGCTAAAACAAGTATACAAAGACAAACAAACTTAGGCATCCCACAGTTATAGATCCATTATTCATTTGTTTTTTTCATTTTTACTGATACTAATCATGTTGGCTTCTATTTATTTTGCATCGTAAGTATTTCACTCCTGTAAATTGTACCATTAAATATTAAGCAAAAACAAAACAACACATAGACACACAATTATGAAAATAGTTAATTGATCTCGCAGGTAAAAAATGCGATGCAGCTATATTTATTTTGATTGATAAAAAGAAATAACGCTATGCCCACTGTTCATGTTTCTTTTAGACATGTGAATAAATCTCATTGGTAGATTCTTGAATACTTAGTAGTGCGCTCACTTTAAATTGTATCACATAGTGTCTATTGACATTTTTAATTGAAAAAACTAATCTATATTCTTTTAAATATTCAAGCTTACACTTGATCCAGGCTTCTTTGAATTGATTTCTAAGTTAGACGGCAATATATTTAATGTTGTATGAAGCATTTGTGATGAATTCGATAATGATGAACTATTTAAACGAATATGAATTTGTCCACCAAAACGTAGAAGACGTGTTTGAATTTCATACGCTGTTAAATTTTCTTCAATAATATCTTCATATTCATTTGGACGTACCCAAACGAAATTTAGTAATGAATTCGGTTTAAAAAATATATTTTGTTGTTGTTTTAAAATGATTTGCAAAATTTCATTTAGCTTCGTTAGTTTATTTACTTTTAATTTAAATGGAACAAATGAATTTGATGTTAATAATGATCTATAAAATGTTAATTCAATTATATTATTGTCAATATCAATGCAACTATCAAGATTTTGTTTTATCAAATATTTAGTTGAATTAAATGGAGATTTTAAAGACGGAGACCGATCACTTTTTATGTTGTTTAAATTTGTTGACGCTTGAAATGGTTGAAGTGATATACCAGAATATGTTTTATCTTTCGCACAATTTATAACATGAACAAGCCAACGTGATAAACGCCATATATCATCAAGATCTTGTTGACACGATAATAAATTATTAAGACGATAGCGCGTTTCGTCTAATTCATTGATTGAAAATGCTTCACGTTGATTTTGTTGAGCGTATATTAACTCGAAATCAAGACAGATTGATATACGACTGTATTGACATATAAAACGATAATTATTACTTAAATGTTGGACTAGAATAACAAATTATATAAGATATTTTAATGAGATTAACGAGAGAGTCGCACTGTCATAGAACTAGGACTTTGTGATAGTAAGCATTAATAGAAAAAAGTGACGAGATCTATAGTTGTCTGATTTTCTTTCGTCAGTATTACAATTACCAAGAGGTCTCATGGGAAAAGTTGAGTCACTGAGTCGTAAAATTAGATATTCAATTTTTAGTTGAAATGGATAGCCTATATCGTGGATTATTGAAAAATAAATAAATAATACAAATTGCTTGTTATTCTCATATTTATCGGGTGTGCAGCGTTTATTTTTCTAAACATGTCTTGAGGTGTTCAGACCACCGTGTAATTTTTATATTAGCAAAGTTTGTCACTTGATATTCCAGAAACGCATTTTTGACAAACTAGATCTTAAGTAAAACAATAATTGCTTCAAAAAGAAATCTTGTAACCTCAGATTCTGTTGAATTTCTCTTAGTCTTCTGAAGATAGTAACCTATCAATAATATAGATTTACAACTCGTAAATTAATTAGAAAGATTCACTAAAGCATAAGATTTAACTTATATTTGATTATGAAAAGTCTTTGAAGGCATTGAATCTCTTCTTTGTTTTCTTAAAAGCTTGATACTGATATACGAAAAGTAGATACTGATCAATAGCAATTGAATCAGTACATCATCTTTATTCATAACGCAGCAACAGCAAAAAATATTCGTATTCATCAGCATAGATCATTCAGTTATCCTGTGGGTTTTGATTGAAGATTAAATAATTACTCTCAAATTCTTGGAGCAAGTCAAAAGCTATTTTGAAAGCAGCTGTTTTGTTCTAATTAGTAGATAATTACTAATATGCTTTTTCTTTTTCTTTTTTTACGTATATCAATTGAATACTTACAAACTTCAAAAATATACACAGGTAAATAAATAAAGGATGCAAGAGAATGATTTGATGGCGAAGAAAGAATATTAACTTCATCAGCAGTCGACATTAAAATAATTAATGATAGATCATCACGAATTTCAACAACTTGCGAGTCATATATACGACTATTTGAAAAATGCGTTTCAGGAAGATCTAAATACAATGATTATTTGTATCTACCAATTTATTTTTCGAAAATGATCTTACCAAGCATTACAAATAATTCTTTAGCTGCATCGAAAAATTGAGTTTTAAATATTTCAAGACTATTATCTGAAGATTCATCTTTCGTTGAGTTTTCATTATTCTTTGTATGTAACCATTTCCACTCTTCTCTAGAAATATTTTAATAGATCTACCTACTCAGCAAAGACCTATGTAAATATTGGTTTACCTGGATACATTAGCTACGGAACGAATTTTTGTACAGGGCAATGAACCAGGCATATGTTTATTCACCATAACACGTATTGAATCTACACTATTTTGCATTTTTAAATATGCAACATATAAACCAGGATCAAGAGAACGCATGGATGCATAATACGAATCGATCATATCCTTTAGAGTAAAAAAGAATCAAAAATACATTTAATAGTTTTTTTCCCGTCATACTGGAAGTTTTTCTATTATTTGTTGAAGACATGAATTCGTTGTTAATGATGAAGATTCTTTCATGAGTTCAAAAAATTTTGTCATTGTCATCCATTTTAAATTTGACGGAGAAACATTTGTACGTGTATCAGAAGACAAATCATTGATCAATACAAATGCTACATTACCCTCATTATCACGAATATATGCATGATGAAGGCGACCAAGATTATTTATTTCTTCCAATGTCTAAAACAATTTATTCAATTATAAGCAGTTGATTTTATCGAAGTATAAGTTATCAAAAGAGTTTCTCAAGGAAACAAATAATTTACATCTGTAAATTCGAATATACGATAAATATGCTTGTGTGTCTTATCAAAATGTAAACGATTCAGTTTTTTCTTACGGTGGAGTCGACAGTATGTTAAAGTCAAAATAAATTCAAAAACATTTTTTTACAGTCAATATCTGAGTTACACTATAGAGTAATCGCCCCCCCCCTCCCCATTATAGAAGACCCATCTGAAGAAAAAGTTTGTCCGACATAATAGAAGACTCCCCTTTAATTAATTAATTTTTTGCTAATTCCGAACTTTAATTAGCGTTTTTCCATCAAAACATGCCTGATTCTTAGCATATTAAGTTGGAAATATTAAGAGAATGTGTTCACAATTCTAATGACATCCTTAAAACCCTGAAAATCACATTGGTTTTCTGGAAAACCTTTTAATTAAATATTAGGAAAAAATGCGATTCTTAATACAAGACCCCTCTGGAAAATTTTTACGTTGGAACATAATAGAAGACCCGGGGTCTTTTATTGTGGGATGGGGGGGGGGGGGGGGGGGGGGGGTAGTATGTTCATGATTTCAAACAGATGAATTGAATAGATAAGACATTCTTAAGAGCTGTAGCAAACGTTAGATGCAGTAGAGTTTTACACAGAACTTAATTTGCTTCATGTTAAGCAAGAAAATTTTTATGCTTCAGATAATCAACGGACTTATTATATAAACATGTACTCGTACTTAGTCATCTTTAATAGTACATCTTATTTATTGTATACCGATTTTTATGGAAAACGGTTTCTAATTCAGTTACAAGATCATGTATTCGCAATTCTGTCTTACTTGAAGTTCAGTAGCTGCTTGAACAAGTTTCATTCTTAAATAAAATGAAGTTGCACTTGAGCATCGTTCTAGCTTAGGTCTGACACTTTTTAAATCTTCCCAAACAAATGTTAATTTCATAAACCATTGAAAATCTGTCAATAGATTATGACCATAATTTTCATCAACTTCAACCATTGGTAAAACATCTTCATTTGTTACTAATATTCGATCACTATTTATAATAACAGATACTAAATAAAGTCCTCTGAAAAATTAAGAATGTGAAATCAATTTGTTGTTTTTTTCGATGAAGTTTCTTACCGCTTTATCGATTTTGCTAATCGCGGATAAAATTGAAATAATTGTCGAAAATTTTTTCGAAGATTTCCATAACTTCGACGATAGTTTCTTCTACTTGGTGTGTCAGATGATTCTATTTATTAATAATTGATTAACAATATTCTATTATGAAGTATTCCAAATAAAACTTACCATTTCCATCTAATGATCTATTCATTCCATTTCCTTCTCGTTCATTAAAAATTTTGTTTTGAATTTCTTCAAAACGCAAATCACATATATTTGTACGTGATGTTTTAGAGAATTCTCGCCAATCTTAACAGATATCACAATTAATTTCTTAGTTCGAAAAATATAAATAAATTCAACGTCATACTTGATGGAGTGCAATATGGTGGATTAGCAACATTTGTTTCACCAAAGCCTTTCATATTTGAAGCTGATACTCGTACATAACATTTTTGTCCAACAGATAAATTTCGAATAATATATTCTCTCAAAAAACAACTTTTAATTACATCAGATGATAGATTAGTAAAGAATTCATCTGTACTCCATTCAACTAATCAAAATTAAAATAATAAAATAATATTCAAGATAATAAAATCATACTTTTATATTTAATAATCATAGCTCCATTAGATCGAAGTGGCTCATCAAATGTTACTGTAATATTATCTGAGCCAGTAACCACTAAATGAACATTTGTTGGCGCACTAGGAACATCTAAAGTAAAATTCATAACTATTTAGTTTTATTCTTAATATTAAATTATACTTTCACAACAATGTAACTCAAATATTTCTCATTCCCATTTCATTAAAAATCGAGTTCTTCTTTTTATAATTAAATATAAAACAAAATTTTTTTTTTGAAAATCCATCTTTTTTCTCCTAATATATATTTGTTACTCCAATTCAAAGAAAAAATGAAAAGATCTAACGAGGGAACATGTCTAACTGATATATCGTTTTTGGGATCGGACTTCATGCATTGAGTAGATCCTATTGTGTTATGACAAACCCCACAAGGACGAATACCCATAGGTCTTCTGGCTTGAGTTATAGAAATTTTAGCATCTACCACCTTATTATACCAAAAAATTGAATGACAGTCTTTTGATCTGAGCTTTCGTTCATAGACAAGTCTATCTATGAGTAGGACGTGCTGAAAATTTCAGCTCCAAAAAATGTTTCCTTCCCGAGATATTAAACTTACAAAAATCACTGATATCGCACGAAAGATTTTAGAATCTCCTTTTTTTTTGGTTTTGGTAGTTTAATATCTCGGGAAGAAAACATTTTTTGGAGCTGAAATTTTCAGCACGTCCTACTCATAGATAGACTTGTCTATGAACGAAAGCTCAGATCAAAAGACTGTCATTCAATTTTTTGGTATAATAAGGTGGTAGATGCTAAAATTTCTATAACTCAAGCCAGAAGACCTATGGGTATTCGTCCTTGTGGGGTTTGTCATAACACAATAGGATCTACTCAATGCATGAAGTCCGATCCCAAAAACGATTTATCAGTTAGACATGTTCCCTCGTTAGATCTTTTCCTTTTTAATAGTTCACTATTCATTTCGAGTATTCTTTTTATTAGCTTTCGTTATCAAAGTCTATAGAAATATTTTTAAAAATGCAGTCGTTTTTATATCTTATGATCTTTACCTGCTTGCTCATAATTATCTTTCATTTGAGTCAGTGTTAAATAATGTTGTTGATGAAACTGTTGTTGATTTTTACTTGTACGACGATGACGTTGTTGCCTATCACATGATGGTGATGAACGACGTAACTAAACAAAAACTTATCGATCGTACTACATTTCGAATAAATCTATAACTATCAAAGTAGATTTTATAAGATTTCAGCTTCTTTTTTAGTAAATATACTATTAAATCTTAAAATGAACACTAGGAAAGCATCCATATTACTATATATTAATTAAAGTATGCATATCAACACAAGAAAAGCAGTACGGCGTTTATTGTCTTTTTGTTTTTATAGCTTCAGAAATCAAATTAAGAAAAACATCTTCTGACATCAACATAAATGTATATATACGCAGAAATCTTTCAGTATTATTTATGAATATGATACTTTATTCTTTGTCAAAATCTACTAGCATTTCGCTTTTTCGTGGAGAAGTCTAACTGATTTTTTGTCTCATAAAGAAAAATACAATTTTTCAATGACGATATTCTATCTAAATTTATCATTGTAATATGTTTATGGCTTTGATCTTGCCTGTTCTATTTATTACTATTTGCATATGAGTTATAACTAGACTAAATCTGTTGATCTTCCACTTATAAAAATAACTCTAAGTACTTTGCACTAATTTTTATGATCGTTTTAAAATTAAAACCAATAGTTTTAAGTATAAAAATGGAAACGAATAAGAATGTATCTTTCAAATCAACAAGATATATAATGTCAATGATATCTTTCCATTAAAATTAAACATTAGATTTAAATTCAATCTTAGTTTTTTTCATGTTCATCTGAAAATAAACGAAATCCTACTTGAATATCATCAGGCGCTAATCTGTTTGATGAAGATTTCTTAATTGTTTCATCCAAATTTTGTTCATTAAGATTTGATAATTGATGACAAACACTTTGATAACGAGATTCTTCTGGTTGAACTATTGCAAATAAAAGATAGTCCTTGTATTTTAATTTATCATAACTTTAAAGATCAAGCGTACGTTTTGAACTTTCTTCAGCATGATGCTGTAAAAGAAGTTGTACCATGATAATATTATTAAGCATTATAGCAATATCCAATGGACACCAATCGTATTCATTGTATCTTAATTTAAGAAAAAAAGAAGAAAAAATGATTTTAATGCAATTTTGTAAAATTTCATTTACGAGTTAATAACATTTCTATTTGTTTGAATTAACTGTTTTGTTGCAGGTAAATCTGAATCTTCGACTGTTTGGAAAATATCTTCTTTAGAAATATAAAAATATTTTTATTCAAAAAAACTATTTAATCAAATTCTTACTGTCATTTGTTATTTTATTACTTGAACTATTAAATGCATTTACAGCTGTTGCTAATTTTAGAGTATTTCCACTTAGAGGACTTTTAGTATCAACAATCTTATTGAATGATATACTTCCGGTGGTGTTGCGCCGTTTAGATACATATGAATTTAAATCGGATTGATGACTCTTGGATAATATTTTATTAGACGGTGATGCTAATAAATGTTCTTCTACTTGACGATTATTTTGTTTAGAACTACTTGAAGATGATGATGATGAACTAATCCAATATTGTTTAGAAATTGTTGGGCCATTCGTTTGAATATTACTTATGGAAAAAATAGAAACAAAATTCTGTTAAAATTTAAAGAATTAATTAAAATGTTAGATATTCTTGGGTTCATTAGAATTCATATAAAGAAAATATGTAAGAAATATGAACTGAGAACATATAAAATTTCATTTTGTTTGTCTCAAAATTCCATTAGTTTATAACTCATTGAACCAATTTAATTCATGTTATATGAAACTAATAATGAACTGAACTATAAATATAGATTAGGACAAGCATTCATATAAACTTCTAGAATAGAAGAACAATGTTATAATCAAAAGATTATTTTTATTCATTATATATTAATTTAATAATGAGTGTTGTTTTACTATTTTGCTTTTGACGTGTAAACGTTACATGGTTTCTATTGAAGTCAATAGAGATCGATCAAAGGATAGGGTGGGTTTTTTTTCTTTTTATTATAATATGATTATAAGAAGGTACATTTTTTTAATTGATCATAGATCAGAGTACCGATTCGAGTCGCATTAGCGCGCCATAAAAATTTTTAGCCTCGGGTAGAATTCTGACAAGTAAGAATCAAGTTGTCTTATAATTACCTAATGGATGTTGATCTTTAAAAAAAGGACACACAAGAATTCGAGATGTGATAATGTTTTTTCTGCTTTTAATTATTCAAAGAGTTCGTGTAGGTCGATGAGAAAAAACAACAAATGTTCACTGTCTCAAAACCAATTCCGTATAATTGATTGAAAAGTATTTCAGAACTCAAACCAAGTCGGTTTTCAAAAAGAATTAATCTATCTAGCACGGTAATAATAATAATAATAATTGAAGCTAACAACTTTCGCTTGATATTGAATACTTTCAAATGTTCTCAAGCGATCGAAACCATTGAATCCGTTGATTTGTAAAATAAAATAGTTTGTAAGACGTTGTTTATTACATAGTTTTTCTTCAACTCGTTAAATTAGAATGTCTCGTACGCTTTTGAAAAATAACTGCTCAGTGTATCGCGTATTGTTAGAAAGAATATTAAATAGATATTGATAAATATTAAAATTTTGTAAAAAGAGAAATCATTTCATGGCTATTTTGAACAATAAATTCGTGAAATTAACTCAACTGTATGTTAACTTATTTATAAAAAACGATTCTATATTGTAAACGAAGCTTTAAAAAAAATATATTACAAGCTGCATGCATCTGATTTTTCTTTTCATTATCAATAACTCAAAATATGAAGATTCGAATCATAATTGAATTTTAATTCGAAATCAATCACCTACTGTCTCATACATGTTTAAGCTATTCAAGACTTTCTCTTTTCAAATTGTTATAGCTGTCGTGAAGAATTTGTTTTAGTTCAATCAAACCAATATGATATGCGAGAAAAAATAATTAAAATGCAGAATCATGTTTTAGATTATTTAGAAGATTTCCATATTCTTACGTGGATGCTTCATTTGCTATTTTCGTTATAGATGTATTTTCATCAGACTAGAAATAAATTTAAATTAAATTAAAAAAATAAAATCCTATAAAAAAAATATTTTTACAGAAATGCCCATTGAATAAGGTCGAGTTTTAGGATTAATTTGTCGAAAAAGTAATTTCTGAATAAGATTAAGACTAGTAGATGTAGCTGTTGGCTTTGGTTCATCTTTATGAATTAAAAGAAAATATATATGCATAATGAAAATCTATAACAACAAACATAAAATATTTTAACAACCTTTAGTTCCATTTGAATCCGCACTGGATGATTCGAACTTGACAAGAGAAAAACGTCGAGATCTATGATTACGTTTTTTATACATTGATGTCGATTTCGAAGCTATAAGTTTATGTTCATTCGATAAAATTGCATCCGATGTTAAATTACATGTTCTTGATTTTTGAGTTCGATCCCTGAATAAATGAAATAAGATAATAAAGAAAAATATTCACGGTCAAAGAATTCTTTTTCTTTTTGCATGCTCATTGAAGTTGAATTAATAAGAAAAGAAAGATAAGCTTTTATTTAACTAGACAACATCCCCCTCATCACATCTCAATAATTACGTCATTCCAATATGCTTCTACATGATTGGATCGAGTACTAATAATCATAACTATAATCTACATTTAGATAAGAATCAGATAAAATCTTTAACTAATTATGTATTCGTCAAGTGTTGATTTAATATTTCAAAAAAAATATATATATATTCTAATGAAGATTAATAACAAATGTCTATCTGATTTTCCTATACATAATATTAACGCATGGGATAATAAATTGACCTCTTTCTTTTATGGACACAATGTCATTCATGCAATCGAATAAGTAACATAATATCCTTCTATTATATCAAATGCAATCGTAATAATAATAAAAAATCCCGCATGACTATCGACAAAAGTACGAGTGCATGTTTTAGTAGCAAGGTCTACTAATGTCATGACGACCATACGTATTGGTCTAATATAACTGACGGAAGCATAGAAATATTTGTCTACATAGATCTACAACAGTGTCTATGACGTAAATGAGAAAAATTATCAGAAGAATTCGATGAAACTATTATCAAAGAATGTTTGATGTATCTCTTGGTACCTGCGATTTGCATACGTTTCTATCTATTTCTGTTAGTGCTAACTGAATTTTCTAAAAATATAAATGCATTCATTATCATCTAGAGAAAAAAAAAGAAATGATTCATATTGCTAATATATCTCTTGAAGAAGTCTTTTAAGAACCCTTCAAAGAATGATGTCAAATATGATTCTCATCACAAACAGCTTTTATCTAAAATACTTTACAAAATATATTTATAATCGATACAATCGTCAAAATAAAAGTGTTTCTTCCTATTTTTTAATATACGTATCGGAAAAAGTTTCTCGAGACTAAGTTTCGATATCTTTATATTAGTTGAAAAATTGAATTAATTATCACAGATAATGAAGAAAGAAAAACGAATGAACCAACCTCATAATATTTTCTCCTTATTTTGAACCAAATATTTCTCGACATTAGTGATGAAAACAAAAATTATAGTTTCACATTATTTAGTTTTATACTCAGTATTGCAAACTAGCGAAGCTCTTGTATTATCATTGATAATAGTTTTTACCTTCTATTGAAAGAAAAACTGAATGAAAACAACAACACCTACCCGATGTTTTGTTTTAAGGATTTGTTTTTATGTAGTGAGCATGATCTGTATTATAATAATTCTAGAGTCTCTAAATGCATCTGATATAATCATGTTCATCCATGATTCAAATTATAAATAAACTACATGATTACGCATATATTTGTCAATAGAAAAATGATTAACAATAATAACTCGGCTTGCACTAAATCGACAACGAAAATGTAGGACTGGAACAAAAGAGTTCTTAAAAAAGCAATGTTTTTTTGTAATTATGCTGAGAACGTGTTCTTTTGTGCAAAAACAACTAGATCCTTTCGAAGATGAAAATAAAAAGAAGAAGCACGCATCTCTTACATAATGTAAGTGAATAATACTATTATTTAGATTACTTTTGATGATGAAATAGGAGTGCATGACTAAAATTTAGTTTTTCTTGAAAAGAAATTCTCTTGGACATTTATCTAATGTAATTTATCATTGTCATGCTGAATACTTTTTAAACATGCGTTCTTTTCATCATGCTCTCGATGAATTCTTCTATCTATTATTATTTTTGTCGAACAATAAACTGATGAAGATAGAAAGTTATAGCACATCAATATTCATTTATATATATATATATATGTATCTTCATGAGGAGTATAGGGAAAAGTATGAGTTAAATGAAACGGTGAAGTGTTGATTTCTTTTAGAAATATTTTATTCTATACCTTGATTGAAACATTCAAATTAATAAAATCAGTAAAATACGATGCAACGAACATGAACAAACAAAAATAAGAAATTATTTTTCTAATCGTTTCCCTTTTTCTTTTTGGCTTATATGTAATAGTTATAAATACCAAGGTTAGTCTACGGCAGCTTGATTCTTGATTAAGAATGTCTTCAGGGAAAAAAAATCTATCAGATATATTGTGATGTTTATGTTATCGGAAAAAAACAAGCATCTGTACATTTCTATACATGTGATTCGTTGAAATAAAATACTTTTTTCTCATTAGTTATCCGATCGATGTTTTCAAACTATCTTTTGTGTTTTTTCAGATAAAATATTCACATCATACTATAGAAGAAAAATATATATTAACGTCATTGATTAGCTTCTCTTTTCGTCATTCTTTAGAATTATTTCATTTTTAACTTATTATACTTAATGAATATTGAAATTATATAAAACTATTCAATCTATTTTCTTGATTCAACATAAGATAGATATCAGTTTATGTTGATAAGTCAAGGTCTTCTTCCCTTTTGTTTGATCGTTGCATCTAGGCAGTTTGTACTCGCAATCATCAATTACATCATTCTTTTGATAGTCAGTCAAACCAACACATGGCTGTGTACCATTTTATGCGTATCTACCCAGAGATATATCTTAACATGTGTATAGCCAAATAAAAAGTCAATTGACTAGACTTTCAATCAAGGATACTGATTTATCTAAACTAATTAGCAAAACTAATGAGACCTTCTCAAACAGTTATTTTCAATTGAGAACTGTGCTCGGTCATAGCTATCATATCTTAAAAATAACATTGTCAATTTGCTTTCTGTACTCACTACCGTTAATCCATAGATTAAAAAAGATCAAGATGAATAATAATATATTAAAAATATTCTGATCGATATCTTAAATGAATATTATTGAAGTTGATCGTTTTGTCAGTCGAAAAATTTTCTGTCCCCCTAATTATAAAAAAAATTATCCTTCTTTATCGCTCGAAAAAAACAACAACAATCCTATTATAATCATTAATATAATCCTCTTTTGTGAAACACGATCTGAAAGAAGTGTTGAAGTATAGAGAGTAGAAATTTGGACTAGTTCGCCCCCCCCCCCACAGACCGTTACAGGGAAATTAATTAATTAGCTAGTTGGTTTATTAATTAATTATTAAATTTCTCAGTAACGGTCTGTGATGGTCTCTAGCTACTCGATACATCATAATACAAACCGTGACAGAGAAGCTCCACAGTTCATCACTGGCCACGGCCGAAAGGCTCCATATATGATTACAGACAGCGGCAGAAAAATTGCAAAGACTTAAACACCGTGGTAGACGAGTTCCAGTGAAGGAGTTCAATCGTGTTTCACATTTTAATCTTATAGGGATTCCACTAACAGCTTTTTGTTTTTAAAAAGAATTTCCATTATAACTTCAATGGACGGATCATATTAATACATTCTATCTGATTATCGACTTCATTAGAATGAACCCAGTACAAGTTCTCCTTGCATTATTATAATTTAAATATAGAGCTCTTCACAAGTCATATTTTCCTTAAATTTCTCTAGCATGCTAGACATACATTGTTTCTACAGAAAAAAATAGAAACTTTTGCTGCGTTTCCAAAACAACAAATCCGTTTTGTAAAAAAAGAACGAACTTCATGCATCGATCAATTTCCTTATCAGATCAATTTTTAAAAAAAAGTCATAGTCATTTCATGAGCCTTTTCTTTCTTGTGAACTGACCTTTCTTTACATATTGTTATTGATGTCATTTCTGTTGCATGAGGAATATTACCACGAATACTGTCATGCACATGTCGAAAGTCATTGTAATGAGTTCTACGTTCAGCAATACCAGCAAATGAAGCACATTTTTTGATTTTTTTCGATTGTAAATTATTTGTTGAACGAAAAAGTATTAATGATGGACGACGTTGCAAGATATTATTATCATTATGAATTGATGATGAAACAGTATGAAATTTTAAATGTTCTTGCCACCATCGATATAATTTAACCCAGTTATCAGTAGTAGACATATCCTGTAATATAGGCAAATAAAGAAAAACTAAATAACAAGAATTGATGGTTGCTTTGTTATGAATGCGTGATGATATTCCACATTTTTCTTATCAATAAATAAGAATAATCTAAAGTGATGACAAACATGAAACAGTTCAATATACAGCTGTGTTCATCATATAGATAACAGCCATTCATTACAACAACATAAACCAAAAGTAATAAGTGAGACACGCATAAATCAATAGTAATGCTCGTAGAAGAATCAACGACCAGGAATTAGTTAGCTCTCTAGATTACATATATATGTGCATGAACAATTGCCTTCATTTGTTTAAGTACAATATAGAATTAGGATTTTTCTTATCAACTGAAGAAATCTAAAAATAGAAACAAACAAGTAGAATGGTGAACTAGTAGTATAGTCGTCGTAGAAGAGAACTAAAAACTGGTAAAATCCTTTATAATTATGAACACGAAGGTGCATGATTTCTTAATCGAGACAAAAAAAATATAAACTGCATAATTATACTCATTAGCATTCTAGCAAAAAATGTGCGGAAAAGAAGCAGGACGTTTCGCTGAACGCTCTTATTTAAAAAAATAGATTGACTTTATAGATTACTGTTATAATCATACATACAGATATACGATTTGACATGTTCAATTAGAAGAAGGCAAAAAAGGATTATAAGCCGTTCAGAAAGAAAAAACGATAGAGGCATTGACCTTTTTTCCGACTAACATTGAATTATTATCTACTATATCTGGTAAAGAAACATATGGATATACCGTTTATTGTGCCAATAAATAATATTGTAAAGAAAGTCGAGATCAAGGAGAATGAAAGAGAACGATGGAGAGATATAGAATTCATATATGTTTGGCCATATTATATCCATATTGCATCTATGTGGGTGTGTTGATCATTTCAATCATTCCAAAGAAAACATACAGAGGTCAATCAGCTCAATTGAACTTTTCTCTACTACAATCAGCATTTTATGGCATACTTCACGTAAAGAGACACAGATTTATAGAAAAAAAGATTGCTTTTTAAAATGATATCTTACAAAAAAAAATGATTATTCAATTAGTATCTTTTTTTCGATGCAACTATTATTATTATCATCCAATCTCGTTTATGATAATATTAATCTCACATAGAATAGCATGAAGAACCAATAGACATCCATCTATTTGATAAATACACTACATAGAGATTCTTGAGTAATCGCAGCCAATACTATAAATTATTTAAAACAAGATCAAGACCAAGTTCAATCTTTATAGTTGCACTTTAATATTTGAAAATGAAATGTCCATATGATAGATTGAAAGAAAATGAAAGAAAAGAAAAGATATGTAATTATTTAGCTTTTTCCTAATCGATTTCTATTAATTTATTCAAATAATATTGTATAAAATGATCAAGGCAAAAAGATATACATTTACTATTGAACTCGTTCTATACACTTAGAAAATAAACTCTAATTGAAATTCATAATAACACATCGATTTGTATAACTAGAAGATGAATAATAGAATTTTATATTGATAAAATAAATATGGCCATACACAATCAGTTAGCTTGAAATAGAATATTTTTCTTCTTTCTATTTTATAGTTTTAGAACTCATAATATGACAATTTTAGTGAATAATTTTAGTTTCTGGCAAATCTACATTATCCTTAATAGCCAATTTTCATAAATCATTGATTTTCATTTACAATAAAACGAATTCACTAAATACGCTCACTACATAATTATGTAATTTATATTCCAAGTAACTTGTGGATATTTTAATCGACGTCATTTGTCTTTTGCTAGTTGTATTGATAGAAATTAAATTAATTTTCGTATCTACCATTTAATTTTAAAAGATTTAAATAAGTTTCATGTAGTATATGAAAAACTAAATGAACTCAGCATATCAATAGACTTCTTTACTCACTAAAACAAAAAATGGATCGACACTGAACAGAAATTTCTATCATTGACTCAATGCGTTATAATGGTATATGATCAAGTCAAAAAACAATTATTGTTACTGATTTTAGCTGATTGCGACTATTAAAATCTGAAAGCGTTTGTAAGTATTATGTTCGAGTTATCCAATCACTTAAAATGTATGAAAATGCCTTCTTCATGTCTTCATAAAAATTGATTCGCACATCTTAAATTTGATTTCTATATTTTCGTTTAATATTTTCTTCGTAGCGTTGACCTTTTAGTTATATTAATGAAAGATTAGTTAATTAATACGTTAAAATATAAACAGAAGTTAATTCTCATAGTGAGGTTTGACAATCCGATCTGTAATCATCTATTCCGGCTGATAATTACGGTCATTATTAGTAAATAGCAACAAAATCACTGGACAGTGTGCATGTTTTCATAACATTTCTACTAATTGATTTCTTTTTCTTATTTTATCTAAAAAAATCTTTAATTAATTATTAAATGACAAAAAAACAAATAGTATTTCTTCTTTTTTTTAAGTAGATACTTATAAATTGATGAAGTTATTTGGAAAAATTACCGATAACCGTGTTAATTATGTTATTTGGGGGTGTAACACCTTGATAAGAATTAGAGACGCAACTAATAAAAATGCCAGATGCTACAGTATTGTTTATGACAAAATGACAGCAATGAAAATAAAATAGTATTGAATATTGGATGAAGATCCAATAGTTTATTCAATGAACAGAAATAGATGAGAATCAGAACTGCACAAGGAAGTAGTTGACGCGAGCTGGAACGATTGGAATGAATAATCAAGTTGAAAGAACGAGTATAGGTATATCTCAGTGAAGAGAGATATATGAAGATGCTTGAAGAAAAAAGAGAAGAATAATTATGTATTGATTTGGCAATATTAGACGCAAAAACAAACAAGAGAAAAAGAGAGGGAAGCTAGAAAAAGAAATAAACAGGCACCAAGATAACATCAGTGACGCTTGTGTCGTCACAGGGGGTATTGACAATAAGCATCTTATAGGCAACCTGATTTTCGATAGTATATGACTGATTATACTTTTCACCAATGAAATATGAATTGCTCAGTATATCATTCATTCATATACAAGTTGTACGTATTAATAAAATATTTCAGTTACTAATTATTTAACAGACATACTCGTATGATGAGTTGCCTCACTGACCGATATAGTAGTAGTATTTAATCAATAATATTGATAGACATTTATATATACTCATTGAACATATCTATTGTTAGTCCTAAAACATGGAAGAATAAAATATTTTAAACAATTCTAATATATAATATTCATCTAAACATAGATTAGAGTAAAACAAAGAGTTCAATCTCTTTCATATCGATGACTATTTCTGATAAACGTGTGTAACTAACTGATATATCACAAAGACTATTCTATTTTTACGTAAGACTATCGAAGAATGACTAGCAGATGAACTGATATCGACGAATGAGATTTATGAAGACTTTTCATTTTTAATAATATCAATAAACAATACAAGAAATTAATCTTAAAAATATATCAAATAATATAAGAGATATTGTTTTTAGAAACTATTGAGTAGATATATTTCAAGTTTCGTAGTAAGCGAAGCTTGATACTTCATAGGGCAAAAATGGTCGGATTCAGAAAACCGAATAAAAATATTCACGAAAGTTGCGAAACAAAGAAAATAATATCGTCGAGCAATTATGTTATATAGAAAACAAAATTTCCAAGATGTAAAGTTGCGCTCTTCTGCAATTAGGACATACCAGATAAGAAACTTCATCAATAGAAAATTAAAAAGATAATTAAAAAACAATTTGACTTTGATTCAAGCAAAAGCAAATATGCATTAAGTGATTAGCAATGAAAGAATTTTCAAAATGTTGAAATTCTTATTCATCTGAAGTCTATACGCTTCTTGAAAGCAACAATTTTTCTTCATCATTTCATCCAAAAACCGACAATATACATCGTTTGATCCCTTAGTTAACAATTGACTTTATTCCAATAGATTTAAATTAAAAAAAACTATTTACACATAAATGTGACTATCTGATTATTGCACAAAACGAATTGATCAAAAACTGAATACGAGTTTAAAAGCTTTTGTATTATTCGATTCGAAATTTTCCTTTGAATACTTTTTCTTTGCTTTTGTAAAAGCAAGCTGAACATTTTTTTTTCTATTAATTGAATAATGTAAAAACAAAATAATTAGTTAATTATTGACACAGTCCTTTCGTGTATATTTGTCAACAAGACAGAGGCGAATGATTTTTTTCTCATTTTTCAAATACAATACAAAATACACGAAGAACACTTACACACATATGAATGAGACACGAGCAGAAAGAAAAAAAGAAAGAAAACTACACAACAATCATGTAGACAAACAAAAAAAAAAGAGGAAAACCCGTCTATCTAATACCTACGAAACTGACTTTTACTGATATATGATCAGTCAGGCATCAGTAGTGATAAACAGAAAGACGTTAAACGCGAGAAATAAAGTCAATAGTGTACATACATATATTTATATATGTATATACACATAATTAATAATGAAATCTTTACTCTCTGGATTCTTCATCAACTTCATCGTCATCATCATCAACAACATCTTTTGATTCATCATCATCTCCACCTGCCTCTGCATCGCTACCAGCTACAATAAAATGAATAAATTTCGATACAAATAAATGTAAATCAATTTACCTTCATCACTTTCAGCATCGCTACCATCGCCTTGCCCTTTAAAATCTATACAAAACAAAGAGAAAAAAACAATTTATTTTCATTATATATAAAATAACGAACCATCATCATCGGAATTTTCTTCGTCGTCATCATCATAATCAGCACTGTCATCTAGATCCCCTATTTAAAAAACAAACCGCACATGTTTTGAATCATTTAAAACAATATTTTTACTTACCGCTAGCGGCAGCATCAGTAGAAGTTGCATTTCCATTTCGTTTTGAAGCTCCTTTAGCGTTACTTGGAGCTGCTCCAGCTTCTACACTGTTTGAATCATCATCATTGGTTTCTTCGCGTGATTCGTCATCATCATTAAGAGTTTGTTTATTTCTCGTCGTTGATGTTGCTGCTTTTACTGGTGTTGCCTTTTTTTTCGAACCAGTTGTTGTTGTTGTTTCAACATCTCCGTTGGATTCATCATCGTCATCATGCGTTCGCTAATCATATCAAAGCAAAAACAGCAAGTCATTGTTTCAACTGTCTAATTAACAAAATAGATTTTTACCTTTTTGCCTTTAGCTTCAGCTTCTGTCGACATAGTTTTATATTAACAATCTATTCGATAGGAAAAAGAAGAGAATGAGAAAAATCAAAAAAAAAAGAAATGATTCGCAAGAGAAAAAAACGATTTTCGATAATCTGTATATTAAATGTGACGAATAACAAAAAATATGTGGTTTACAAATTTCGTCGTATCGATCTTTTCGTTCGATATGTAATAGAGTGCGTGTATTGTTTAAGAAAGAACGATGAAATACGTCAAACAAAGAATCATTTCTCTTTTCGTTCCAAAATGTTTTATTGGTTAGACGGCATAGTAGACTTTATGTTAGACAGCCTTCACCATGGTTAACATACAGTTTTATATTAGAAAATTTTATTTAAAAAATTGCAAGTAAATTTCTAATATTATCGTTTTTTTCATATCATGTCGGAAGCAACCTTTATGGAGGCAAGAAGACGGCTTATAGAAATGCTGTTTTTTTGTTAAATTGTTTGATAATTTTTCAAATTGTAAAAACTAATGGAATAAAATAAATTTCATTGATCTTTCTTTGTATCATTTGGTAAAAAGAAATTATTAAATGAAAATAGCGACACCTATATCATAGAAAAATATATTATTAAATGCATATAATATGACGTTGATATAAAGAAATTTCTCAATTCTACAAAATACAACAATGAAATGAATGAAAATTATTCAGTGAAATATTCAAAGAAAAATGAATCATTGGTTAAAATGTTTTAATCAGTCATATTCTTTTTGTGAGAGATGATGTGATAAAGCTGGATCTGAGTAGAAGAATTTAATGGCTAAGGTAGAAAGTCTACACAAACAAACTGTTGAACGATTACTCCGACGGAGAGCATGTTTTACGAAAAATTATTTCATCGTACTAGTAATACAGCTATGAATAGTTAACTAATCTAGATCTAATATACATTTATTTTTGTTATTATTTAATTGTTTTGTATCCTGAAATAAATATAACGTTGACGACAAGTATAGAACATTGTTTCAATAACGAAGAAAATATTGTTGTACAATTCATAATTTTTACATCAGTCTATATCAACGAGCTGCATATTCCAATCTATTGAAATATCATTTTACTTAAGAGAAGCATTTAGTTGTGTAATTACCTTGAATTATATTTGCATCATTGCTTGAATTCTTGTAGATAAAATCTGAATTAGACTATATATCATGTCGTTTGAATCCATTCTTGAGCAACAACGCCGTTATCATGAAGAACGTGAACGATTAATGGATACGATGACAAAAGAAATGTTGCGTAAAAAAGCCACAGTCAGTTGATTTTTATATTTCAATTCATGTTATTAAATTTTACAATTTTAGCATCGTGATCAAATCAATTCTGAACATATGGTTAAATTATTACTTGATGTAAGAAAATTGTATATGGAATTAAAATATTGGCGTCTTTTATTTTATTTTATTTTCAGCGTTATACGGAAACGTCAAGTCACTTGAAAGATATGTATGATGATAAAGATGGGTAAATATAATTATTATTCATTTTATAATACAGAATTTACTCTTTGTAATAGATCTCGTAAAGAAGAAATTCAAGCATTATCAGGACCAAATGAATTTACAGAATTTTATTTACGACTTAAAAATATTCGTCAATATTATCCGAAAAATTCATCAGAAGAAGTTAGTTTACGAAACAATAGTTTAATCTTATTTCTTGCTTCATTTTTAGATTGCTATTCCTATGTCAATGGAATATGAACAATTTATGAGACAACTACAAGAAACTGAGGATGGTGAACCACTAGGTAAAGACATACATTTGAGGCAAATATTATTTACTTGTTTTTCTTATTGATCTGTTTAGCATTAGCAAGTTTTACTGACGAAGAAGGTTATGGTCGTTTTCTTGATTTACATCAATGTTTTGAAATCTTTTTAAATATCAAAGGACTTGAAGTAAGAAAAATTTTTCTCTTCTATCATAGTAGTATTTGTTTTTGTATTATTAATGAATATTTTTAGAAATTAGATTATTTAACATATTTACAGAAATTTGATCGTTTTCATGAAATTCAAAAAGATCGCAAAAATTTTGAATACCGACAATATTTACTTGAATATTTATTTCCTTATCTATTAGACTTTCTGAAACGTTGTAAACCTTTAATTAATATCGAAAAAGATTTAATTAATGTTAAACAAGATTTTGAATTGAAATGGGAACAAGGAATTTTTCCTGGTTGGCCGGTAACCTGAACTAAAAGATAACTTTTATATTGCTATTATTAAAGTATTTTCTTTGCATAGAAAGAAACAGGTGGTGCTTTGGCGAAAGGTGGAGCTTCTTTGGATCTTAGTGGATTTTCATCGTGGGAGGTAAGAAGATTTTGTTTTAGAAGTTAGTGTTAACATATATTATGGAGCAGACATTTAATGAATCCGTAGCTTTACGTCCGACGTTGACTGCAATGTTTTGTTAGTTAAAAAAAGATGAGAAAGTCAACTATGATAGACCTATCTGGGTTATGGAAATAGTTCTTATGTTAGCTTAGAAATTTTGACAAATGTTCGACAGTGAGAACCAATCATATAGCTCCTGATTGCATAAGAATTGCAATACAAATTCGATGTATACCTATTGTTGAGTTAATTGTGAAGTTTTCGAAATTGAAGATTTCCTGTTTTTCTTTTTATGAAACTAATAAAAGTAAAAAGAATTTACTGTATTAATCCTTTTTGTACTCTATACGATTTAGACAACACAACGAAATAAGTATTGTCATTGAACTTTTTTATGTTCTTATAAACCGATGAATTTGGTTTTGAGTAATTTGTTAAAATATACACAATGAATTTTATTTATCAGGCTATATCTACGTACTGTAGTTTGAAGTACATTCAAGATTCTTTTCGATTTGGTTTTTGAAAGTTGGATTAATCTGATTCTATTAATTGAATAACGGATCATCGACAACTAATTTCATAAAATTTACATTTAGTTTTAAGTCTCAATAACTAAGCTGTAGAAATTCGAAAAAATTAAGTTTTAATTAAAAATTTTGTATTGTAATTTAATATATTTTTGACATTTGTCTAACATATGTGCTGCTGCAGCTGTGAGTCAATCCTTAACACATGCAAAAATTTACTTTGAAAAGAGAAAATTAACGTTTTTCAGTGAAATAAAGACTTGAAAAATCATCAGAAAGTATGATAGAAATCACAAATTTTCAAAGACGTATTCCAGAAAAATCGAGCTCATTTTGACAGTCTAATTTTCATAGAAAATTGTCTGAATTAGAATTGTAATTCTCATTCAATGTTTTCGAATTTCTGCAGATTTAGTAAAAAAGTTGAAAAATAAACGCATATATTGTCAAATAAATTATATATTTTTCATGATAACGTTATAATTGAGCATAACTAGACACTAATTAGTTAGGAATACTATGTCAATTAATTTTAGATGATAATAGCATTCTGTAAATTTTGATTGAATATGTTTTTTTTCTTCTGAATTTTAGGAATTAGCATCTGTTGGTCTTGATCGATTAAAATCTGCTTTATTAGCACTTGGAATGAAATGTGGCGGGTAAAGATTAATGTTTGATGTTTAATTATTTCATATGTTAATATCTATACGATTTTGATAGAACATTAGAAGAACGTGCTAAACGCTTATTTGCAACAAAAGATAAATCATTTGAAGATCTTGATCCCTCGTTGTTTATGAAAGATGCAGATAAAACAAAACGTGGAAAGTTCGTATTATTTTCTATTTAATAAATAGAATGTTTATGTTGATTAAAAAACAATTTTTAGTAAAGAAACAATTCGACATAAAGAAATTGCTGGGATGGAAGCACAAATTTATCGTCTTGTAGATTTATTAAGTGAACAACGTTCAGCAACATTAGATAATGTTCGTCGTAAACAGGCAAGAGCTGGCGAAGATAATGAAGATGATGAAGATGTCGGTGGAGGAGATATATCAGATGATGATTCCGGTCCAGAAGAAGATGGACTTATTTATAATCCAAAAAATTTACCTCTTGGATGGGATGGCAAAGTAAATTTTTAAAGAAAAGTAAATAAATTTCCACTTTTTTTTGTTTCTAGCCAATTCCTTATTGGCTTTATAAATTACATGGTCTTAATATGTATTTCAATTGTGAAATATGTGGAAATCATACATATCGTGGACCGAAAGCATTTCAACGTCATTTTGCTGTATGTTGCCGCTTTTCTTTCCTTTTCTTTTGTTTCATTGATGAATCAATTTAGGAATGGCGTCATGCGCATGGAATGCGATGTTTAGGTATTCCGAATACAGCTCATTTTGCAAATATAACATCAATTGAAGATGCTTTATCATTATGGAATAAATTAAAAAATAATAAAGATGATGAACGGTGGAAGCCAGAAATGGAGGTTTGACTTGGTTTAAATATTTTTTTAAATTTATGTCGAGAATTTAATTTTTTTTCTTTAGGAAGAATTCGAAGATTCATTGGGAAATGTTGTTAATAAACGAACGTATGATGATCTTCGGAAGCAAGGTCTTTTATAATTAAAAGAAAGTCAATAAACTTTGATCTTTGTTTTTCTTCCTTTTTGTTACTGTGTATATTTAAAAACGAAATATAAAAGTTTATGTGTTGTGTGTCAATGCCACGTTTTCATTCTATCTTTCAATAAAGAAAGATATAGCATATTTCATAAGAATTCCTATCAATAGAAAATAAGCTATGGGCAAAACGACTCTTTGCGAACTACATCTGGTTCTTTTTTGCACATTTTAAATAAGTTGAGAATTAGAATTTCGTAGTCTACATCCCTTTCTATTCAGATTTTTTTCTCTTTCGAAATCAATTTGTTTAGAGCAAATATTTAATGATGATTATTGGCGCCTGTTGTGTACGACGCTGCATTACTAGTTTTTAGTAAATAATGTTAGTCAATTTTTTGAGCGCTTCGATGTTACTGACGAACATTGAAAATAGTAGACAGTTAGAACTGATATTTGACACTTTTTGCACGCATCTACAAGATTTTTTTGCTGACTTACGGCTAATTTGATTTTAGAAAAATATTAAGGGTATGGATGTGCTGCTGCTATTACTAATGAGCCCATCTGGAAGACTCGCAACACCACCCTTCATATTTCTTATTCTTTTTCAGCCTTTAAACTAGTCAGGATTGATTCGACAGACAAAATGGATTAGGTCTGATTGGATTCAAGGACATTCAAGACTAGCCTGGAAGTGTTTGAAGGACCATTAAAAAAACCTTGACTATACTCATGACGGATGTGCAAGACAACTCAGATTAGACCTGATGGATATTACAGGCATTGCGGACTAGTCCTGGGGATCATCTTCCTTAATTTTTTTGTTTGGGTTATAATATAAAATATTCTTTTATGTTTCTTTTCGTGCTTGTGATATACCAACAGTGCATCGCTTACTGTCAAAAAAGGAAAATAGATTAAGAAGAGACTTATCCGTGGAAAGATGATAAGAGAGAAAATTAGGTCGCGAAAACAGAAAACCTGACCAAGACAAGCGCGACGGAATTTATCAACAACAATGTCAAAGAATGAATTGACATTATATGAATGCGACATATTGGTTCTCTAATAATGACTAAAGATTTTTCGATAGTTTACTCTTCGACGTTTTGAATTCGTCATAAATTCAAATTCTCCACCAACTAATATCTACATCTCAATTAGATTTTAGATAAGTATAATTGAGAAGGACGATTCTCGTTTAGTTGAAAAATTTTAATTCAAAAGAAAAAGTATAGAATATGTGCCGCGTACTGTAATTACTTTGATTCTATTGAACAGACTAATTTGCATCAATGAAAATTATTAAACCATATTATTATGTCATTCAGCAAAAGTTTCAAGATCACTAAAACAAAAACCATTTGTAAAGTGGTATTTATAATTAAAATATTTAGAACATTGTTGTAAACCACAAACCTTAACCCTGAAAAAGTAAAAATAGAGACGTGACTAAGGATGTTTGCTTACTGGTTACTTTCATGCTGACACACACTCGAAACTCTCAACATATTTACATTTTTGTATTTTTAAATTTCGATATCTTTATCTTTGGATGTGAGTAGAGCAGATCTAGATGTTCTGTTCTTTGTGTAAGATTTATAACAGTTCCTATAAATCTTTTCGATGAATTCGGTCAGAATTATTTTTTCGAATTGGTCTGTTAAAGAAAATGAAAATATTTTGTATAAGCTAATGATATTACATCTTTTAAATTGAGAATATCGGAGAAGTCCAATAAACAACAATACATTTGACTTCCGACTATATTTATATTTGACAACACTTCACATGTGTTTGAACTAATCTATCGCAGATAAATAATAAATAGCGCTAAATTAAGGAAAAGCTTTTAGTTCTAAGTCAAATTCAAAATTTGATCAAAGAAGAGAAAAACAGCACAATTACAGGTGTATAAAGACGATTTCAAAGCTTTCTCTATTTTTTTAGAAATATAACTATTGACCGTTAGCTTGTTATTTACAATACAATATGATATCAAACCATTAAAATTTGAAACTCAAATATCGGGAGAGCAGTTGTTAGAATCTACTGGAAGCAGAAATTCCTATAATGTTGAGTTTTTCTCTGCGATTTTAACAGCACCGATTCTACAAAATATTTACATGAGAATCTCTTTTAAATGCACGACTATGAGACTTTTAAAAAGTGTTCACAATTGACGGGTGTCTATGCAGACTATCATATGTATTGTATTTCTTTTCTAGTGTCGAAATAATTGGAGGTCATTTAATATATTTCTTATCATCCTGTATTTGAATTGTTATGAAAATGCTAGCTTTCTAACAGAATAAAACCTCTACTTTATTTCATTGAAGAGTATATGATCGGTTTAGTCTCGATTTATAGGCATTCGATGGACTTTATTGTACAATTCACATCGTAATAAATCAGCAACATCGTTTTTATTATATCTGGAATGCATTAATGTGAAATAATGAAGCGAAGGCAGAGAAAAATAATAGTCGAGCTTCGAGTATAAAGATATTTATTTTCAGCTGTGAGATGTTTACTTATCGAAGCTGTCCGATATAATGCAAAAGCATTCCCTTTTTTTTGAGTTGAACTGTCAAATTATTGAAATGCTTTCATTAGCAAGATAGTTCAATGATTTTTGTAATCGTTGTTTTGAAAAGTATACTCTAGACAATTTAACTGATCAAGGAATAAATAATTTGTAGAAAGGAAAAATGTAAATTTTTGAAGTTTTTAATTTATTTATAAGTCATTTTCGTCTTTAGTTTTAAGGGTTTTGTGTTGATCTAATCGAACTGACAGTAAAGTTTCACAGGAAAATTGAAGATATCAAGAGTTTTTATGAACTATACAATCATATACAAACAGTTTGTGTTGAATAAAAATTAATTGACCAGAAAAATATTTTATTCATTATTATTTGAAAACTTTAGTTGTGTATTGCTAATTCAATATCGATGACAACTGAGATTTATTTCTTTGTTTTTATAAATCTTCGAAAGTCTTGTGGATACTTTTTCATGAAATAAAATCTGAGTTAAATTTTTTACAAAGATAGAATTCGTTAGTAATAAGGAAAAGCACATTAGAAAGATTTCGTCTCGAATCTGTCGATTGTTTTACAACAAATCAGTTCATGAAATTCGACATCGAACTAGACTTATTATTATTTTTTATTTACAAAACAAACTACAAGGTCTACTAATATTCTTTTTATCGTTGACAATACTTTTTATTACGATTCTTCTAAAGTATTGATTATATTTTGAAAAATGAATAAGTCTGGCGCATGAATTTCTTCTTATTGTTTTCTTTTCTCAAATGAAATTTGAACTTTCTTTCGTTGTTATTTCGATGTTCGAAATAATTTTTATTCTTTAAACGATTATGTATTTTTTTATTGTATAATTCTAAATGTCTTCTCGACGCTCATCACCATTAATGCTTGTGCGTCCATTCCGTGTTCGTCTGTCAATTTTAGATCTACGAACATCCCAGTCATCAACTAACAATTCATTATTACCATCATCATCAACACAACGTCGTTCAAATACTAGCAATCCGCTCACACTTAAATTAAATGAATTTCTTATCGAACAAAATAAATACACCAACGGAAAAAATGATTCAATAACAATATCAGATCGTGATACACATGATCGAGAAATAATTAAACGATTTCTTCATTCAAACAATGAAATAGAAGCAAGAAAAATTTTAGGACAAATGTGGAAACAATCACGGTTTTGTGATTTGATGCTTGTTGTCGATGGAAGTGAATATTTAGCGCATCGAATTGTTCTTGGTAGGTTTTATTTGATGTACTTTCATCCCTGATCTTTAAATTTAGAAAACAGTAATTACAATAAATTTATGGAAACTAGTCTTTGCTCTTCTCTGTAAAAGATGTCTACTGTATTATTATTTTGTCAGTAAGCTTATGAGATTCATATTTTTTTCGAAAATAAAACTATCTATTCCACAAGATTTAACACGTCACAGACGTAGTTTATATTTAGGCATAATATAAATATTTATGAGATCTACCTAAGATAAAGGAACGAAATACAATGTAGCTACTTTGCATAATCACAAGCAGACTGTTTTGTACTGTATTAAACGAGTTCCATCTCTTTATCATTTTGTTTTACGTTTATTCTTCAGCAATAAAGTAACGTTTATTATAACGAGACTTAGTGCATATATTATTTTGAATTTTGTATTTTGTACATTTAAATATTTGTTTCAGCTGCATTTAGTCCAAAATATCGGTAAGAAAAAGCCATCGAATTATTCTGTAATTTTGTTTTTCATTTTATTCAGTGCACTTTTTCGTGAACGCCGTACTGATTTTGTTACACGTACACATCTTCGACGCACAACACATAAAGGCCTTCAACTTGTTTTAAATTTTTTATATACTGGTAATAAATATTTTCCAATCATTTCGCTTAGTTTTATGTGAAAAAATATCTCATATATATATATGTATCTATCTTCAGGTGAATTAACTTTAACATACCGTAATGTAAATGATATTCTCATTTGTGCAAAAGAACTTGATATTGCAAAAATTTTTGAAATATGTGAAGAATTTTTATCAAAATTTGAAAAACGTCACGTATTTCGTGTACTTGACTTGTCAAGACGTTATGGAATGAAAAAGGCTTTTTATGAATCACATTATTATCTATCAAAAAATTTTAATGAATGTATCAATATGAAAACTTTTCTTCAATTACCATATGCAACTATTGCCAATATATTAGCGGATGAAACAATACAGAATCGAGATGAAACTATTGTTTCAAGTCGAATTTTAAATTGGATTACTTCAAATCATGTAGAAAATATTCAAGTTATTATGCATTTGTTTAAAAGAATTCGATGGAATAAATTAGACTATGAACAACAACGAGAATGGTTAACTGCGAGTCATGAATTGGCTGAAAATTCAAACTTAACATCACTTATTAAAGAACACATGATGTAAGTTCAATCAAATATGTTGTTTGTAACTGAAGCAGACTGTTGTCATTTATTAGAAACGAATATATTTAAATCTTCAACCGTTTTTGAATCAAAACTATGTGCATCAAATAGATTTCTAATATCGTGAAAAACGTTTCGCGCTAGTGATTTCTCACTACAAAAATCTTGTAGTTTTATGTTGATTTTGAATGAAATAGGATGGTCTTGCTAAGAAACATCATGAATACTGAGGTTTGAATTTGACCAATAGCCTCACACAGAAACAAACCTTATCGAACACCGTTTATTGTAAAAGTTTTGGATCTTTGAAAATTGCTTCCGTATCGAAATAAGAAAATCGAGATCTACCTGTGTAAATGGGAGAAATTCAAGGCTTGCTTTTACCATAGTCATATTTGTTGATAGGAAATGGTAGATAATAAGCATTTTCCAGAAAATATTTATTTATATGAAATTACGAATGAAAATTTGACTGATCGAGGAAAATAATCCATTCTAATTACGAAACGTTTGTTTTCGACGAATTTAAAATATGTTTCTTAGCTTTGCTGATCAAATGTGCAATAAATTATGTGAGATATCTCATAGTCAAAACTCCAACTAAAATTATTGACATTACTCTTCTGCAATTTCACTTATGAGCAAACTATCAATTGAAAAGTAAAGACAGGATACACTTTCAATAAAATTTCTTGCTAATTTTTATCTTGGTATTCACGGATTCTCTTGAGTGTTCCCACTGCCCTCAGAATGTTATAAGAATCCGGTATATGAAACCATTTATTTTCTACGAATTTAAAAATTCTCGATATGTTACAAATAATTATATTGATCACATGTCTTTTGAAAAGAAAAAGAAGCATCATTCTATTTTACTCGTTTTAGACTTGCTTATGAAAAATCTAATCATGCAAATTCAATCTCAAAACCAAATGAACTTAAGTTGAACCTCACTAGTTCTGTCAGTCGTCAGACAAATCGAAATCGACATCATTCTTGATATTAATTCATCATTTTAAATGGACTATCTTCTTTATTCAGTTTCATTTTTCAAAAATACGAAATACATTACTTAGTATATATTTATCTGCATAACTTCTCTCAATAAGAAAAGAAAGATCATATGTGTAAAAGTTTCGACATGGAATATAATAAATATGCAAATAAAAAAAAGAACTCAACAACGAAACGAGTGCATGCTTTTAATCAATATTGGAAATGAACAGCAGAAAAAACAAATGAATGAAACATCATCACTGACATGACATAGATCTAAGTAGGATCTTCCATAGGGGAATTTGATTGAATATCATTGGAATTTGTTGGTAATAATGGTGAATGTGATCTTGATAGAACAAGTTTATCGTTACTGTTATTGAGTAGATCTTTGTTACGTAATGTACGTAAACGTTCATTCTCTCGTTGTAAAACATCGCTCCGTGTACGTTCATTTTCTAAATTATCACTGACAATTCGAAGCTAGAACAAACAAGAAAAAAAACAGTGGGTTCATTGAATTTCATATATTAATTAGGAGAAAAAAATTTCGTGTGGCAATGTTAATAACCCGAAGATTACACGTCGGATAGAGTCCTGCAGGCCAACCTTGCCCTACCCTGCCCTGCAGGGCAGGGTAGAGTAGGGTGCAAAACTCGTAGGGCACGGCAGGGCTAGGGTACAAAGCTCGTAGGGCAGGGTAAGGTTACAAAAAAATATTTAGGGTATAAGTAGGGTGTAGCTCATACAAATAAAAATTTTCTAGAGTAGAACTTAATATATATTTCTGACATCTTTTTAATCAAAAACAGTGTAAAGAGTGATATCATAATCAAAATCGAATGGGTAGAATAACAACGAACGGAAAATAATGGCCTATTGTTTAGTACTATTTTTACATAAGCTGACGAGTTCAGTCACTTTTGATTATTTGTCGAGCAAATGTGCATGTCAATGTAATAAAAAATGTGTTCGAAATCATATCGACATGAACGTATTGTTAGTACAAACGGGTGAGTTTTGGAAGAGAGAAGGCAAAATTTAAGTGATGTTGTAAAATGCCATTTTATTTTTAAAAAACTTTCGAAATATTTATTAATTTTGTATTTGATTCTCGTTGAAAATCAATAAAATATATTGAAACAAAGTGAAGAAAAACTTCATGCTGACTTTTACTTCGACCTGAAACTCTAAGGATATGATAGGGTGTAAAATGAAAAATCTCTGTGATAGGGTAGGGTAGGGCAAGGTTACGAAGTCTATAGGGCAGGGCAGGACAAGGGTGCGAAGTTTTACGATAGGGCAAGGTTAGAGTACAAAAAAGTCTTAACCTGCAGGACTGTAACGTCGGACATGTTCTTTGAATGAATTCTAATTGACTATATTATTTGTCAATCTAGTAAACCTCAAGATTGGTCCATTGTAGCATGTTTTCGCATCTCTATCGCTTAAAATTGCTGATCACTATTTTGATGTTGCAAGAAAAAGTAACAAAACAAATTCCATTCAAACAAAGGAAATTCAATAAGATTTAGTTCTGTCTTTGTATGATTAGAAATTAAATAGAAAAAAAAACACATTTACCTCGCGTTGTAATCGTCTACGTTCTTGTTTTAATTCATCTTCAATGCGCTCTGCATCGTCTAATTGCTGTTTATATCGTGTAAGTTGAGCTTCATAACGTATATTCTAATTGGAAAAAATAGCATTTAAATCAAGGAGAAATCAAAGAAATGGAATATAATAGAGGAGAAACCCATCGTGATATCATGTTTTACATTAGTCTTTGATGCAATTCAATGAGCTAGAATAGTAATCTCAAAAGTGGAGAACCGAGTTTTTTAAAATCTAGCCTATTGATTCATTTCCGTACAATGTTTATGTTTCCGATTAAAATCGTCAAGTAGCATTATTTTTTCTTGAAACTTACCTAATTCAGAAATATTCTATTTACGGAGCCAAAAAATCCTATTATTCATTTGAGATAACGAAGATTTTAAGTTATTTCCTACAGATTCAATCAACAACCATCTAAAATTTCTGTCCTAAATCGAACAAATAATGGAGTTGTTCGATGTAAACTTAGTTTATTTGAGTAAAACTAGTTTCTTTTTCCATTAAGTTTTAGTCTTGCAAATAACACACAAAATGTTAACTCTACTCAATGGTCTCTACATGGTATGAATTATCTTGACTAGCTTGGCTTATCGATAAAAACTATCAATTGATCATCAATGAATGATACTTCATTGAATATAATAGATATAGAAGTCTGAGAAAGTAATCACGAATTCCCACAAGTATGACTAGAAATAAGATAAAATTCATGTAGGCATCGAAATGTTTGTCCACTCTTAACCAATAACTATGCAGATTATTAACGAAGTAGGAGCCAAACAGTTGCTATTGATGACTTTCGTGTTAGACTGTTTTGAATCAATGGCGAATCTTCATTCAAGAAAGTTTAGAAAGAAAAAAGAACTAATTTGAATAGATATTTTTTAGTTTTTGTTTAAATTTATACAAAAAATTCGAAAGAAACAACAGCATTGAACAGACATAAACGAAGAGAAGCAGAATCAAAATCTATAAATATATTAAATTGTAGAAGTACTGTGAAGACGTTTTAACTTCGATAATTACACTATTCAATCAAAATTTATATTTATTTATTGCAGAATTCATTGTTGACTTTAGAAACTGACTGTTCAACTTAATGTTGACAAATATCAGTGTATTATTAGATGGTGGATAAGGATGCAGACATATAAATATTCTCTTCACTCCAATGCTTTCTGTCATCATGCTTCACAGCAAAACTAACTATTTAATTCAGAAGATACTAACATGAGCGAGACTATTATTCGAATTGATATGATTTTACATCATCAATTCAACATTTAATATTGAATACATTTGACGATTATCTTTCTTACTATTCAACTGTTCTGAATTAAACCAAATGAAGTTTCAACAATTAAGATGTTCGAGTTTAAGCAAATATTTTCTAATCTTCTATTAATATACTATTCGTTGATTTCGAAAGTCTTCATGATCATGACAAAAAAAATCTCTTTCATATAAATTTTTAATTAGATAACATCAAAGGATTGATTTATAGTTCAATAGTATATTACCTCTTGTTGTAATGATCCATTATCAGCTGCTAATTGTTGTAGTTTATTATTTAGATCAGTTATTTGCCTTATTAATTGTTCTATAGAAAAACAGAAAGTTAACTTTTTGTATTTTATTCAAGGTTGTTTGAGATACTTTGTTGTTCGCAATCATAAACGTTACTCATATTTTCATCATGAAAACCAATTGAATTTGGAATTTTTTGTTTTAATATTTTTAATTGATTTCTTGTTTCATCCAATTCTAATTTTAATTTATTAATTTGTTCAACTTGATCACGCTTTTCCATCAATATTCTTTTAACTTTTTCATCAATTGGTCGATTAATAGGAGAACTAGATGATTGAAATATTGCTTGAGAATGAAACTCCATCGATAAAATAGATCGATATTTTGGGCCTTCATCTAGGCAAATTTCCATTTCTGTCTCCTGTGAAATTTTGCGTACGAAAAAAAACATGTTTGTTTTCTAAGAATAAATTTACTTGAATTAATTTTTCACAATCAATTAAAACTTCTTTTAAATGTTTATGGTCCTCTTTTAAATCGATCAATGTTCGTTTTTGTATATCAAAGTCCTTGTTGAAAGAAAATCCTTTATTAAACAATTTTATCAATTAATACTACTTTGCATTTTTCTTTTAGTTGTCTTTTAATGTGATTGAATGTTTCATAATATTCATCTAATCGATCTTTATATGTATCAACTTCATAGCGTAATGCCTGTTTTTCATTATACATGCTGGAATTAATTATCATTAAGGATTTATATTTCGATTCAAGTTCACTCAATAAACGCTATATGAATACAATAAGAAAACGTCAGAAAAGAAAAATATACTATCAAATATACGAACTCGTAAATCACGTTGTTCGATGGAACGCAGATCAATATCACCATTAAGAAATTTTTGAAGTAACGACGAATGAGTATTTGCTCCTATTATACTATTCATATTTATCATTTGATTCTATGAGAATAAGTTTCATTTTTTGCTTTTCAAAAATTTTCTTTCTAACTTTTACTTTGTTCGATCCCGTTGATGCCGATGAAGTAATAAAATGTATTGTTGATGAGTCTTCACCATCTTCCTAAAACGATAAATTAACTTAAGATGATTTCAGATATGAAATAGAAGATTTACATCTCGAGCATTCTTTTCTAATTCTTTATGTCGAATATGACGTGCTTCACGATTTTGTTCACGTTGTTGTTGAAGACGAAGTTCAGCCTTTATAAGAATACAGTTTACAATGAAAAGAAGAAGAAAATAAGTACAAACTTCTTTTGCAATATCACCAAGCACATATTCTTCGGTGTGTGACGTATTAATTTGATCATAAATTTTAGTTGATGTTGAACCATCAGTTGACTTTCGATATCGAATAGGTGTTGAAGAATTCATGACATAGTTCTTTTCAAAATAATTTATAAAATAAATTTTATAACTTCTTTCGATACTTATTCTAAATAATGAATACAATACAATAAATATTGAAAAGTAAAACATATTTGAAAAGGATAGAGAGTAAGTAAAGTTTTAAACCCTTTTATTAGTGAAAAATCGATTCATTTTGGTCTTTTATAAAGTGAAACACTTCGCTGTTGAAAACTTTCAAGATAATAGGAAAAGAAGTCTACAAAGAAAAGCTCAATTTGATGGGTTTTATCTATATTGCAATAGATGTCACTCGTCAATGAATAGACAGCAAAAATTTCCTTAAAATAATTTAAACAAAAAGATCTTCAGTATCTCTTTTTTTCTTTATTGTTCTTTTTTTAAATGTATCTTAAGTAAACTTTAATTAATAAACTTTATACTGAATCGATAAGTCAGGATGAATTATTCTTATGAATTAGAGTTGTCATCAGACTACCTATCAGATCTTTTTAAACAATTTAAAATACTCAGCCGAGTTGACTTTTGGAGAAAGATATCTTGAAAAATGAGCTGTTTTATGTTTCAGCTTGATACTTCACGTACGTAAAAACAAAGAAAAATAGACAGAAAACTTTAAACCAACTTTCGAAATGCTTGCGCATGATGAAGATCATCATTTTGAGAAATATCATCTTTGTAAGTATGGCAAAATTCGTTGTAAATTTAATAAAACTTTAGTTTTAGTGTGTCGAGCAAAATATGCATTGGTTTATATATTCTTCCGTACGGGACAATAACGATTATATATTTACGCTAGTTGAGCTGAATCTATAGAGATTTTTCTTGTGCTGCTCATTTTGTGAGCTTTTTAAAACATATCTGGAATTGATTTATAAAATTAAGATTAGTTTAGAATGATAGAAAAGACTTTGAGGTATCGATTGGTGAAAAACAAAATAGGAAAATGACGTACCAATTGTTCGCTAATTAGGTTTTTTGAAACCTGTATAAATTGACTGTGATTATAGATTTACTGGAATGACACCAACATGTATATACATTAGATCCAACAGGAGTAAGTGCATACATGAAAAGTTGTGTTCAAAGAAAATCTTCTAGATAGGTCTGTGTGTAATATGTTTAGTTGCTATTTTTTAGTTATCAATAGAGGAGCACTGGAGCTAAGTGTAACGATACATATGGGGACCCTGTTTGGGTTGATATCACTTACCGTCACTCTGCATATGTGAAGAAGCGAATGAACATCATTGCCTAGAGTGGTAGTAAGTTACTCCACCTCTAGCCACTTTGTCATTACGTATCGACCCAAACAGGGCCATATTTATCGTTACAGCATCTAATTAGGTTGCCATCGAATTCTTGTTTCTTAGTATAAGACAGTTGAATTTCTTTTTCCAAAATTCCATTTAACAATTCAAATGATGCTAAAAGTGAGGCAGGATTATGAGCAGAAGTATCGTAGTTAACATCATTAAAAACCTCGCTATCAACTTGATCAAGGATTGACACAGATTTTAGTTTAAAAAATCAAGATAGGAAAAATTTTAAGCTACGGAACTGTTCTATTTCTTGTTAGGTTATTTTTTCTAATTCTTTTTTCTCGAAAATCCTTTTCAGCTACTTGGTTAGTTTCTATCTCGCGAGTGCAATCTTACATTAGATAGTTATCATGTTTATAACCAATTAAAATCTAGGAAGAAAATCGAGCGCGATCATCATTGTAAAAATAAATGAGTCAATAAAAATATTTTTCGACTGATTCAAGCCCATAAATTAAAACAATTGCGGTTGGACTCAGATTGAATTGAATTAAGTAATTTCTTATAATAATGAGGTTTTAATCCAATTTCAAACGGTTTTATGGAAAAACAACGTAGAAAATCGAAATTTCGTGAATTACACGATTGACACTGACAATAATCGATTAAAACTGCATAAAAACTAGAATCTAACTGATGCAAATCAGGTTAAGACTTTTTATTTGCCACAAAGGAAAAAAATCAATCTTACGATCATAATAAATTTGAATTCTGTGTGTATTTTTACACGAGCTGACATAATTTTACCAAAAATATGAGCCTACCCTAGACTGGAAGCGCTCCGCTACACCTGGTGCCGCTATAATTGCCAGTTTCTTCCTTGTAGTATTAAAGTCCACACTCAAACTAATTGAAACGAATAAGCGGCATACATCTTGAATATAATGCAGTGGGTAACAATATTTGAGTTATACTGGATTGCTCTACATATATTCATTAGGAAAACGGAATAATTATACGTATTTTATTTTGCTACTTCAATTGCATTTTTCGCTCAAGGGATATTTTTTATTATAATACTAAATAAAACATGCAGAAACGAGTAGAAAATCTTCAAATATTAAATTTTGAACTGTAAGCAACTTGGTGGTCTCCTCTAGAACAATAATTATCAGATGAATAAATGATAGAAAGCATGCTACTCTAAAACAAAAGTGACTTTCATTCTTATTGGATACTTTAATTACTGTGCTATTTATTCATGTAAATAGTGTACACCAAGTTCATAAATAAGTCGATACTTAGGAAGTGTTGACTACAATTTCAAAACCCGAAACGCGGCAAAAAAACACCTATACAAGACAAAAAGTCATAAATAATCATCTTATTTGCATGTGTACGTAAGAAAAAGTAGATAAACATCATAGTAGTAAATTTGAATATCGTCTAACATCATAGATTTGTCTCTCGATCCAGAAAAACAGCAATCAAATCATACATACATTCCTTTGCTTGAGTGAAAAAACTTTTCTCTTTCCTGTCTCATTTCGTTGGGGTGTCGCCATCGAGAGTTTTCAGCAATCAAGTAATCATTTTCCTTCAAGTATGTTAGAACGTTTTCACGATGTGCGATAGAAGGTTTTACTATGAGGTCTGCCTCTCTTCTTCTCTCTGATTGTATGATTATAGGCAATCATTTCTTTTGCCAGAAAAGATGCTTTTGCCAAAAGTAACGATAATTTTCTAAAAGTCTCAACATAATGATTGTTTGTGACAGTTGTATGCATGTTTATCTTTATTCACAATTTTTTCAGAGATAGTACGGTTTATAAAGAGTGAGCTCTCGCTATTTTGAACTTTCTTGCTTAGCACTACTATACAGATTCCAGGTAAGAATCATTCATCTAATCTGAGCTTTGTACGCCAGATACTGATTTGAAGATTGAATACTAAATCGAGCCTCATCAATGAGTCTAAAGAACTTACATTGATCATAAACTGATAAATTACTGGCTTATTGTCTCTGTAAATAATGAGATTGGATTTGACTAACTTTTAATGAAGTGGCATCATTTAGTTATTTGTGCAATGCTAAGATCAAGTGGATAAATAGGACATCAGTAATGACTGGTAACAAACAGGTCTTTAATTCATAACGATACCCCTTACATCTCTATTTTGTAGTGCAACATTTTCACTTCTCTGCCACATCTTTTTAATTATTTGTCCCGGTTTAATATCAAAATCTATATTAGAGAATAAATATTATTATTTGTATCAAACACATAATCGATTGCTAACCTAGAAACAAAACTTTCATAGTTAAAATATATTCTTTTCCTTAAAGTGAACAAACGATACAATCTATATCCATAAATATTGAAGTATACTGAGTTATCAGATCACACTTTTAAACGCCAGAATTTTCTTTTCATAGTTAGAAATTAATTTGCAAAGGTAGATTTCAATCCAATCATGAATATTGTATATAGCTAATAGCATAAAATGCCTACTGAATGTCTATTCATTTACTCATAATTTATTTTCATAAGTACTTCACTGTAAGAAAACACAATACAATAAATTTAGTTTTCTTTGTGGAAATAAAAATAAATAACCGCAAACTGCCAAAAATTTTCATAAAATTAAAATCTTTTCTCAAAACTAATGTGACAATAAACCGCATAAATACATATAGACTAAAGAAAATCTATAAAAAGCAACATAGCTATAAATGAATTCCAGCTAATCTTAGTTTTTATATATTGTATTTCATTTTTGAATATGGTTTATCAAGGGTGGATGTTACTGGATGGATGATTCTACTCAAATCTATGTACGCAAAGCTGGAATCAAGGCGAGTTCAAAACGTAAAGCACTGTAAAAATATGGAAACTTAAGAATGAAGATATAAAGATCGTTTCATGCAATGTCTAGTGAAGTCAAAGTCTATACAAGATTATAAGTCACATTTATTTTCTTAAAAAAATAAAAGTTAATTATTTAATTGGCAATTAGTTTCTCATTGTAGTAAAATGAAAACATTCGTACTGCAATTGTCTTATGTCTAGTTCTTCTTCATTCAGCTTCATGTGATAGTTACTTATATTTCGAGGATGTTCTTTTCTCCATAACTACTCAAGTAATTATCGAACAACCTCATTTGCTTTTACGTTGAAGCCATAACGTATGTTGTGTTTGCCTTCTTTTCTTCATTCTTTTCAAATCATCGTTGCAATTTCCACCGATTGCACGTATGACACTTTCTGCCTTTACGATGCAAGAAGCATTCAGGAAAAATTGGAATTCTGCAGTCATACTGTCTGCCAATGTTGAACGACAGAAAAATGCAATTTCAAGCAAATGTAAAACATGTGAAACTCCTGTCCAGTATTCTTATTGTGGTGCTATAGTATGTCACTCGTGTAAAATGTTTTTTAAACGAAACGCCGAAAATGGACAAGTCAATAGAAATTAAAATACTTTATTTCTCTTATTTGAATTGCTTTATTTAGGATATACTGAAATGTCATTTTGACTATTAATCCGATATCAATATGAATAGTCGTCATACATGTGCTTCATACAGACTTACGAAATGTTTAATCAATGCAATGCGTATTGAAATGATTCGAGCTTCGCGATGCAAAACAAAACAAGCGAAATGGTAAAAAAGTATCGGGTGCTGATTCAGTTTCGTTAAAATCAACAACATCAACGATATTGAGCAAAAATCATCAACCT